CTTGTTCTGGTTTTGATCGACTTCATTGTGAATCCTCTCAAGTTCTTCTTGTAAGGCCTTAGCTTCCTTGGAGTTCTCCCAAATCTCAGCCCAATCAGCTTGAGCAACACCAGCAGTACCAGCACCGACAACTTCAAGGATATATTCGGCAGGGTTGGCACTTGGAGAACACTTGGAGGCACCATTGCTTTCAAAGTAATTGATCATAGTCTTGCTATCTTCACCGATTTCGCCATGATAAGCTGTTCTACCACCACGCACCAACAAGAGAATGTGGTCAAAGTAGCTGAACAAGGTAGCGGAAGGTTGATGAATGGTACACAATACAGGCCAACCAGCATCAGCAAGCTTTCGAATGAAACGAACAATGTTGAAAGAGGATTGGGCATCAAGACCAGAAGTAGGTTCATCCAAAAAGAGAAGCTTGGGCTTGGCAACCAATTCGACACCAATAGTAAGACGCTTGCGTTCTTCAACAGAGATACCCTTGTTGCTGCTAGCAGTACCAATCAATGCATCGGCAACGTTTTCCATCTCCAAAAGTTCGATGATTTGTTCGACATAAGCATCCTTTTCGGCCTTGGGTACTTCAGCGGGTTGACGCAAATAGGCGGAGAACTTGAGAGCTTCACGTACAGTAGCATTGGGATTGTGGATATCCATTTGCTCACAATAACCAGTGATACGCTCGAAATCGGAAAAGAGCTTCTCGCTGTTCATATACATACGGCCTTCAATCTTGCCAATGGTCTTGCGTTGAGAAAGTACATCAAGCAAAGTGGTCTTGCCAGCACCAGAAGATCCCATCAATGCAGTCAAGTGACCTGGTTTGACAATGCCACCAACGTCGCACAATAGTTGACGAGTGCCACCCTTGACAGGTACGGTATAATCGATATGTTGCCATGAGAATGTGGTTCCATCAGTAACAGCTTCAAAGTTTTCATTCTTTTGTGCAAGTCGCTTCTTTGCCAAGGCTTCGGCATCTTCAGTTGGAGCTCTGTTACGCTTGTAAACCTTGACTTGAGAGCCACCACCGCTACCAATGCTGAGGTATTCCATGGAAAGAGCAGTGACAACGGTAAAGAGCAAAAAGAATAGCACGACGGCAACAAAGTCAATCCAGCGTTCCCAGGTGTTGTAACCATACTTGAGCTTAAGGTAATTGTCACCAAGGACAGCATCATCACCAGGTTGGGCACCAGGAACAGAGCACGCCTTATAAGCTTGATCAACATCTTCGTAAGCAGGACCAGAAGGAACAGAGTTGCCCGCCCCAACGCAAGTGAAGTAGTTGCCGTGCATTTCATTCGAGAACATAGCCTTGAAAGAATAAGCCATAGGATTGATCCAATAGATCCACATCAACCAAGGATGCATGTTTGTATAACCAATAAGATAACCAGAGTAGATCAACAAGGCAATAAGGATGGTACTTGAAGCTTGCGAAGCCAAAAAGAAGTTGGGTGCAAGAGAACCAAACATACGGAAGAAGCCGTTCATACACAAGTTGATGAATACCAAATTGATGAGGTAGGTAAAGTACTATAGGGAAAGGAGTCAATATCTTCATGTAATCATGGCAAGTGATAATAGTTACCTGTCCAGCTGTCAAGTTCAAACCAGCCATGAAATAGACACAAAGTTCAAAGATGATGACTTGAATGAAGGCCAAAGGAATATCAGCAACGACTTGAGCAAGATAATAGAACATGGGACGATATAAAGCGTAGGACTTTTGCTTTTCCAAGACACCACGACCTTGCATGAAAGTAGCCAATTCAGATTGTGCGATCAACGAATTGAAGGTTAAACTGAAGAAGAGGAAACCACCACGAGAGAAAGCACCAGATGCTTCTTTGGGCATATGGAAAAAGACGGAAGACATGATAAGACCCTTGACAACGACACCACCATAACGAGATACAAGAGCACCCTTATCACCTATAAGCATAGCATGATGATGAATAAATGTGGATGATGTATCAAAGTGCATAATGATAGTTACCATAGATGAGTTGGAATTGACGAATAGTAAGAGCCTTCAGCTGCTGGAATGCCGAAGCAGTAAATGGAGACTTTTTGCCAGCGTGCTTTTGATGAGCCTCTTCAACAGCTTGACGGAAAGCGACATCAGGACGATTCTTCTCGACTTCGGCCTCATATTCTTGAAGTTGAGCCATCATCGACTTGTATACATCAGAGTTCTTGTAGCATGCTTCAAATTCGGATGGAGTATTGGGCACCTTGTCTTCGAAGCCTGGTCTTGTTTCACGTTCTTGGATATTGCTGATACCAGTCAAGAAATCGGGAATGGACTTGCGAGGAGGACAATGGAAACCAAGGTTCTCAAAGTAAGGCTTGGCCTGGTCAACAGGTCCAAAGTAGATGCAATGGCCTTCAAAGAGCACCAACGTGTTGTCAAAGATGTTGAAGATGCTGTCGGAAGCTTGATACAAGGTGGCAACGGTCGTCTTCTTGAGGATATCGGTCATGATACGCAACGACCTGGCATAATCGAGAGCTGACGAGGCATCGAGACCACGCGTAGAGCAATCCCAGCAATTCACACATGAGCTCGTGGTCATTAATTCGGCAATAGTAAGACGCTTGCGTTCGCCACCAGAGAGACCACGCACGAATTCGTTGCCAACCATGGTGTCCAATTGCTTCACAAGACCAAGCATGTTGCTCAGCATGTAGATGACGTTGTCGACGAACTGGTTCTTGCCTTCATCGGAGAGACGCTTGCCGGGAGTCTTGAGACGTAATGCGAATTGCAATGTCTGCTTTGCGGTCAATGTTGGGTAGTTGATGTCTTCTTCTTGAGCATAGCAAACTTCGCCACGATAAAGCTTGCCGAATTCTTTTGCGTCAATGCCGCCATATTTGACATCGCCCAAAACTTCAGTGAAGCCCTTGCGGAGTTCGGCCATGACACGGAGCAGCGTAGTACAACCAGCACCAGGACGGCCCAACACCAAAAGCATTTGACCAGGCTTGTTGAAACACGTGATATCGTTCAAAATGGTACGATCAGTTCCTTGTTTACGGCCCCATTTCCAGAACTTGATGGTCTTTTCTGCAACAGTGGCCAATGTAGGGATCCATTCAGCGTCAGCACCAAGACCCTGATATGATAGAAGACATTATCTTTAGTACAAAAAAGTTTTCATTAAATGAGATGTCATTTTCTTACCTTGACAGTTAAATTCTTCACGACAAGACCAAGATGTTTGGGCTGAAATCCTTCTTCAGCTTGTCGACGATCGATACCGGATAAGTAGTCTGTAAGGTCAAATCCCTCGGGAGCACCTTTTTCGAGATCATCATTCTTCTCATAAATGGTCGATTGGCGAGTTAATTCACGTCGCATCTCCTCGTATGTATTCATGGCTGATTCATAATCGACGGCGTTTCCCTTGCGTTCGCCATATCCACCTGCACTGCTCTTGGTGCGTGATAATGGCTCGCCGACACTGTCATCACTGTAGTCGTCACGTGAAGGCCACGGCTGTGGCTGTTTTTCAGTGTACTCGGTGTCCATAAGCTGATGATTAGAATATAATCGAGAACCGAGAGGAGATAAACTGTGGTCTTTGTTGAATCGTAAACACCCTCTTTTTATACTCTTTAGCTGAGTAATCGAGCAAATTGATAAATGATATAGCCATGGAGGACTTGAGTAGATCTGAAAGCGAAAAGGATTACCCTTTTTTTAACATGGAGAAGTGGCCGAAGTGCTACATGTTGCCTCGGCAAGTATTACCATATTAGCTCTTTATACCATCTTTATCATTTTACGCTATCATCTTTGATAGAAAAGTCAACGTTCGATAGCTGCAATTCATGAGACCAAACGTTTTGTGCCTGATCCCATAGCAATAGTGGTCACTGTTGTTCATTACAGCGGGCAACACATGGCAGCACACTGAGTTTCAGCGTAATCAACATTTGCCAACTGCGTTAGAATTTCGAATCCCATCACCCCGCAAGACTGGTTGTCTCCTTTCCCTCATTTCTGTGGACCTGATATTTGATGTGTAATCGGTATTGATCGGTCAATCGGCCGTAGCATTCTTTAACGTCTTGTCGATCGATGGGTATTTGAAACTACGGGCATGGCACACTCTTTTCTTGATACAAGCATGTGCGCCCATTGAAACCCAATGTATCTCAGTTTTGTGCGCTGCTATGTTTGAACAGCTTTCAAACACGCATGGCGAAACTTATGCAACAAGAATACCTTTACATTTGTCAATGTTATAGCTACATCGATTATGATGATGTTCTATGTTGGTATTGCTATAGCAATCTACAAGATGTTTACTTCGGCAAGCCGGCATCATTTCGCACTTTCGGTTAAAATTCTGGATGCAGCGGAAAGCCGATCCGATGGAATGTCATATCTACCGCTGCCGTTTCCTCCATATGCGTGTGATGCGATAAGGTTTCAATCGAGCCACACAAGTCTATGTTTGCTTATCCGGGTATACATTGGAGTAGCTGATTTACGATAGTGGATGGTGGATCAAAAGACCAATGATGTCAATATCTCAACTCTTACATGGCAAAACTGCCAAGATATTGCCTGAACAAATGACCCGTATTTGGGAAATATCATTCATCTTCCGCCAAACGGATTCTAAGTAACACATAAACGTCGCTCTGACATTTACAACTTGCATGGAAACGATGATAGGCACATTGGCCACATATCTTTATACTAGGACACATCACATAGCTTCATCATAAAACGTGAAGGTGATAGATTGAATAGCGGACATGTTTTATGATACAATAGTAGTAGCCATGGAGATGTGCAATGATTATAGTAATGAAATGCTACTAGTATTATAGGGCCATTGGGTAAAGTGATGAAGGAGAACGGGTAAAGGTTTGCAAATGGGCGTGTGCGTGGTTGTTGGTTCAATTCCAGCTAGATCGTAGTTGTCATCGTGGACTGAGTAAGTGGCGTTGCAGGTATCGAAGTGTGCGGCATGATCTTATTCTTCCGTTGTAAACTCCCTCCTCTTAAACCATTCTTCCGCTCCTATGCCTCTCAATCAGGATCAGGCCCTCCTCGCGACAAATTGCGTGCCATTCCATTTACACAACACGTCAAGGCTGCTGATAACGTAAGAACCACCATCCCCATCAACTCTCGCCATGAAGAACTTGCTCACATGTCAACATCGGAAAAATAGATCTTTGAAGACTACCATGGCAAAGGCTTTTTCTCTGCACGTGTGAAGACGACGGGTCCTCCAGAGGAGATCTTTTTGCCATTTTGGATCGTTGCTGCTCGTGTTCGCGTGGAGATCGTCCAGGCACAAGTGGTTGGTTTTTGTTTCACACTTCTTCTTTTGGCAGGTGCATGGTTTCATTGTCGCTTACAAAGGGGCTATAGGGTCATCGAGTGTTACGCAATCGATACAACCCAGCAACAAAACGAAATGAAGTGGGATATGATACGCATTGGGTAAGCTATCCTGTTGGATGATATGTCCATTGTCATATTAAACGATACGTGTATTATAGTCTTGGGTCAACGAACGATACCGTTGGTCACATGAATATTCACCGTTGGAGCACGTTGGCATGCATATCTATGGATCACACAAGTATAGACGAGGATTGGTGAATGCCATTCGAAGTTGTCAAAGTTTGCAAGAAGCTACCCAATTCACGCCGCAGCTAATGGATCGGCCTGCTTATTCTGATCTGGCAGCAGCTTATCGAAACATCAATCGCAAAGTGGATCCATTTTATTTGTATCCAACGACAGCTTTACGCTTTGCTCGATCCTACATTCAAGATTCAGAGGAAGCCTATGCAGATGATTTTTTGAGACGCAAGTACAGCGCTGATGATACTCGCCTTGTACAAGTCCAGATCCACGTTGACGACATTCATTGTGCTCCTGTGTATTATCCTGCCTATGTCTATACGGTGCATTATCTTGGAAGGAATTTGCGTACATTTGTGAATGGCCATGACTTGAGAGTGGGCGGCATTCGAGTCTATGATCACAATCGCGTGGCTATTGCATCCGTAGTTGGCATGGCAACCTTAATGACAATGACAGGTGGTGTCGGTATTGGAGGAATGAGCGGCTCATTTTGGGTAAGTGGGACAAAACATGCCGGTAAACGGGTTATTGATTGCCGATGTAGATCGGCATCATCCTTCCCACGGTTATTGCATCGTTGGTGTCAGTGTATTCCCCTATCATCTCTCTGAGGTATCGCGATTGGAAAAGGCAGCAAGAGATACGAGCACAAGAACACGACCCTCATATTTGGGACTCGGATTGGGTGAAGGCATTTAATGCATTTGAGGATCAATATCGCTATCGAACATGGAAGCAGGATCATGAGAGTCAATCGGGAAGGCGAACGTGGAGCGATACATCATCTCTCGACAAAGATCCCAAAGGATACTATAGGGCTCTTGGTATCTCGCCAACAGCTAATACGGCAGATATCCAATCTGCTTTTCGAGGGTAAATTATTGCAAATGTTATATATAGATGATGCTAATGATGACACGTAGCCTTGCAATGAAACATCATCCTGATCGCTACTCCGATCCCAACGACAAGAAAAAGGCTACCGATAGATTCAAAGCCATCTCAGCTGCGTACAGCGTTCTTCGAGATCGTAAGTTGACATTGAACAAGCTCAGACGTTTCATTGCTGATCTTTCTTTTTCTCTCTTAGCTAAAAAACGAAAGGCTTATGATCAATCGGGTAGATAGAAATATAGAGCGGGTTGCATCATTGTAAATAAAAGTTATACAATGTGCGGTGAATATGAAAGGATGTAGCACTGATCTAGCTGTTTAGCCGGATATCAATTTGACGTTAAATAATTAACCACCCTGAAGTTGAATCTTTAGCCGGCATACATTATGGCTTTTTCGATTGGCGAGGATCCGATTCCTATTTAGCGCCGGGAGATCATCACGTTGGCAGTGCTTCAGACTAGAGAATAGCCGTCGTGGCACACTATTATCGCTTTGATGGATGATGGCATCCTACCATACCATGTTACGTACCTAGAAGATGATGCTTCTTGGAAGAAAAGTTTCATCCTTTCAATGCAAACGCAAGATTCATAACCAGCAAGTATATAAACATTGTTTAGCTGTTGAATCAGAGCCGTAAAGAGTGAAGGTTGTCATCTATTGTGGACTACGTAGTATTGTCTCAGCTGTAACGCCATTCAAAGCTTTCGCTTGTCATGGCACAAAATGCTTGAAGTAACGCTACATTTTGTGTGCTAAGTGGTATCAGGGTATTATCTCTTTCAGCATAGTTGTGGGGAATGAAAGAAGAATCGCCTGGCATATGGCATTAACGACAAGCGAGTGTCACGTGGTGGTGATCACGTGCACAAAGCAGCAACTTTTATGCCGCTCCATTTCGGGGCCCAATATCGTGGTGCAGCAAGTTGCATTGTATGCTGATGTCGTGTGACTTGAAAATGAGCGTTTGACCACGGCCAACATCATATAATTATAGGAAATAGGGATAAACGTTGCTAGGAATTGATGTACCTGGATACAGGATCATGTTTTATTACAAGCATACAATGACGACAGTGAAAGACAATGACAACAGTTGGGTAGTTTACATATAGTAGGATTAGGTATGTATCACCACGACAATGAAAATTTTCTGTTGTCTATCAATGTGTAGGTGTACGACATTCACATTTTCCATCATAATGGCAAACTACTGCGTTCTCGGGTGAGCCATACTTGTTCTTGCAATACTTTAAACAGGCTATGAATTCCTCGGGAACACATGCGTCGATGGTGGATCGCTTTTTGGGAAGAGCACTTGTAAGACCCATAAAGAGAACAAAGACAATCATCAAATTGGAGATAAGGAAGCGGCTGAAATACATGGTTTAATGGTTGTGAGCAGAAAAGAGAAGAAGGAGATAACGTTGATTTTTGGATATCCACCTGCTGTTCTTATATAGCCATGAGGTTGACAACAAGGAATGTGATCCAGACAAAGAGCCACACAACAAAAGTAATGAATGAGGTAAAATGAGAATGTGGCTTCTTTATTCAAGTGTTGCCAGCGAGATTTGGGAATCGTATATGAGAAATAGAGTGGGGATATAGCATCTAATAATACTCAAGGCGTCAATCTAAAAGTCGTCAATTCAAAGCACCATCCAAAATCTTCTTGACATCGCTGTACACCTCCTCTTTGGATTGTTCGGCGTTGACCTAGTGATCCAAGAGCATGATATAAATATGCTTGTTCAGGCACATCCATGCACTGTAGATCCATCTTTTACCTTAAATGCCTTGCCCTTTTGCTCATAGTACTCAATCACGGGATAGCTTGTTTCCTTGAAAGTTTGGAACCGCTTCTTGATCGATTCAATGTTGTCATCGACACGACCTGAGCTCTCACCACGTTTAAGGAGTCGATTCAACAATGTTTCCTCAGAGCATTCGAAATAGAGCGTAAACTTGGATTCAACGACAACCTCTTCAAACTTGATAGCCTGATCCATTTTGCGTGGGAAGCCATCCACCAAGAAACGCGTCTTGCCATCATTGTCGCGTGCCTCCTTGATAGCCTTATCGAGCAATGCAATAGTCACTTCCATAGGTACAATCTTGCCTTCTCTGATATGGGTTTGGATCAACTCACTGTATTGCGAACCTTCACGACTCTGCTCAGCACGCAATAGGTCACCCGCTGCAAACGACTCATGCTGGTTAGTTGGTGGGGGAGGCATCGTAACAGCATTGGCAACTTTTCTTACCGGACAGATGGACGAAGCCGTAATCTTGCTTGATAAGATCGCATTGAGTTCCTTTACCACAACCAGGGCCACCTAAGATCAATGGAGGTTGTCGTCAACAGGTGTCTAAATTGCTTGGTGATGAAGGACAACACGTTTGGATACTTGCCGAGAACAAAGACAACAGTAACTGAGTCAGCTTGCAACATAACAACGGAATGTAAAGAAAGATAGGTACACGCACCGGCTGGTTGGCTAAGTGCTGGAAATGCGTATCGCGTGATTATGCTGATGCTTTCAAGTAGGCTTTGCGTTCCGACACGATCCGATGTGCTATGTCTACAGCTTCTTTGACACCCCACAAGTAGTAGTAAATAGGCTTGAATATTGATTGTTGTTGTAATGATATCATCGCATTGAACATAATTGGAAATGGATCAATAATGCTTTGGTGAGCTTAGATAAAGGGATAAGATATGGAAATGTCAAACAAAAGCAGTAGGTCTTTGTCACATGATGATTACCTTTAAGAGCTTTATCTTTTTCATCGGTCATTCTGTGAATGCCATTGTCATCCCATGCATGTTATGGCGGGGGTAACCAACAGCAGCATGTAACAAACTCCACATCCGCTTATGCAATTAGTTAGTCCGAACTATCATCAGAATTTCCTCAAGTGTTGTGCGTGTGTCAACCAACGTCTTCTTTCCAAAGCACGAAATATTACAAATCATAGCCTTCTTATTATCAATCATACTTCAAGGAAAGAATGGCACCTTTAAAAAAAGTGCCGTGAAGCTATTGCAAGTGGTGGATCCAAGAATGAGAGAAAAGGACTCCCAACAACATCAATCAACAATCCTAATTATATAACATTGCTGGCAAATACAGCCACAGTATCCAATTTGAGGATATACGACATGGAGTTGATACAAAGAGGTCAATCAATCGGATCATACCCCATGAAGACACACAAACCATATCCCATCCCTTGATGCTAATGCTTGTACATGATCCCCAGCACACACAAAGCCTTTCATAGGCAATTCTAGAGCGTCTACAAGGACAACAACAACAACAAAAATGATGTTTGATCGGAAGATGATTTACGCTGTAAGTGATGGTCCAAGCGGACAACATGTGGTTGTTCGTGTAATCTTGCGATCCTTTCCATCACCCCCAAATTCATTGAGCAGCTCTCGTGAATGCTGTTATATGAAGAAAATATGTGTGATCCTTGTTGTTTGCACTTGCCTTTGCAGAAAAAAGGACCGGTGCACGAAGCGTGGGCAAATCGGGGCAACCAAACCAAATATATAAGTAAACATTGCACAAGACGAAGTCCTCACATTACATACCTCCTCTGATTCAGTCAAAATAGTGTTCTAGCGCCGGCTGAATGTTGTTAGACCCCAATGAGCTTGTTGCTGATCAGCCAAAGGGATAGGATCCCGTAGTAGTGAGGGCCATGTATGTGCGTATACTTATGAGCAGAACGTATACATACAATTTTGACAATGCATAGGATGATGAGGATGGAAATGAAATGATACATGGGATAATGATGACCGTATGATCATTGTGCGTTCCATGAATTCTCACACAAAGAGTGAGCTTGGTTTTCATGTGGGATATCAGCATTAATGATGATGGATAAGATAAGAAAGAAAAATCTCCCAATGAGGATAAAGGAGCAAATGTTGGGGGAGTAAGAGAGATAATGTAGTAGTAGGGGGTGGATTTTTTGTGAGGGGTTGTCCTACAGGAGAACAAGTGTTGGATGATTGTGGACACAGGCTGAGTGTGTACGTGTGTGTGAGAGAGGGTTTGGGGGTCTGATATGACGCCGGCAACTTTACAATTTCGTCAAGATACGCATAACATGGATTTGTATACACACGCATAATATATAAAGGAGCCCATTTGCTTTTTGACATGGATCGTTACACCCACCTTTCTTTTCTTTATTTTCTTGATTCTGTATATCGACACAAGCACAGCACACACAATGAAAGATAATAAGAGCAGCAATAACAATGATGACAACCGATCAAAGGAATCCACGCTCACGCCACCACCTGTACCTCCACCCACACCACCACCAACCAAAAACCCATCATCACTTTTATCGCCTTGGTGGTCAGCTGAACCTTTGCCAGAACGTAAAAAACCCAATGACACTCGACGATCGCTCATTCGCTTCACACGCATTGTCCAAGGCGGTGCTCATTCGTCGTCGGAACCTCTCTTTACAGAACGTTGCTATATGCTCACCAAAACAAAACGACAACGATCATCATCAGATAGCAACCACAATGTCATCCCTTCTGGTGAAGATGATGATTGTCGTATGGTGTGCCTATTAAAAGATCACCGAAAACAGCAACAACGTAAAACAGCAATGCCACATCATCATCATCATCATCAACAACAGGGCAAATCATCAAATTCATCATCATCATGGAATCCATTCCAAGGGCTTTGGTTGGTGGTGGCAACGACTCGAGCGCGGTGTTTGGAGCATAGTGCGGGTATGTGTGTGTAGCATTATGGATCGCCCATAATTATGACGTATGGAGGAACGGGTCCCCAGCATCGGTTATATAGCATGAAAACTCATCACGTGCTCTCTTATATAGAAAAAACCATTTCCCAAAAGAAGCAGTAATGTTGCCCATGTATGCGTGGAAAAAGCACTCATCACCTTTATCTCTATTTTCTAGTGCTGATTATTACACAGTTGATCTGGGTGAACGGTGGAATCGCTCTGGCGAGGATGGTACAGTCATCATCGACCGCCGCTTTGGTGTTCTTCCTTTTGCTTGTCTTGTTTGACCCAGTCCTTGGTACTCAATTTATCTTTTTTTTAGCACAACGCATTGCAACTATAGCACTAACGCCATTGCAGCACCTCACACAACGCTATATTCAATCATGGCAAGATGGCACCCAAGCTGCCTTCCTAAGTCGCTTTTGGGACAGTGCCAAACGTGGTGATGCCTTCCACCTTATGCTTGACAATGCCAGGAAGCTGCTACATCATGCTACTGCCAAAAAGGATGAGGATACCGCCAAAAAGGACTCCAAGTAGTGGATGACTCTTTTTTCACACACACACACGCACACATTATCGCTCTCAATATGGACTATGATATGAAATACCCACTCCTTGATTTCAATGTATATCCCTTTTGCTATCATTCATTCACACACGTACATTTTTCTGTTTTCCTTCCCCACTACGTATGCCTTTCCCCTTTCCACCCACTCCAAAAGCAATCAAAAGATACTCTCTGTTTTTACCATGTCGTATCAACACAATAATTAAAGCACGAGAAGGAACCAAGGGAACGGGAGAGGAGAGAGGGAACGTGAAACAAAAATAACCCAAAGAGAAGAATAGCAACATCAAGGAGTAGGATTGCCATGGAAACGATCACAAGCCAATAACCATCAAGCTGGGTATCTACACGCACATGCTGTAAACTAACGAGCTGATTTGTTTTAGTACTTGAATTCCTGCAATATCGTTGTCGGGTAAAAGAAGGAAGCATGCATGCATTTATTTGTTCTTATTCCAGCAGATCAGGTTGCTCCTTGACAATCTTGGCATACATTGGTTGGAATTGCATGTAGCCTGCTTGGCTATCTCCAGTATTCTTGTGTACGCCCAAAGCTACTTCATGATCCACCACCTTGAGATCCTTGTAGCCATTAGGTGACGCTGCTTCAGCAAGCAATTGAGATTGGCAGCAACGATCCATGGTAACGAACCACCAAACAGCTTCATCCACGGTCTTGCCAGTGGTAAGTAAGCCGTGGTTTTGCAAAATTATTGCTTTATTGTGAGGCCCGAGTGCTTCGACAAGCCGTTGACCTTCTTCAGGTGTATACACCACGCCACCAAAATCAGGATAGATAGTATGGGACTTGTAAAAGGCGCATGCATCTTGAGAAATAGGTAGCAATTCACGACCCAAAGTTGAAAAAGTTTTGCCGTACATGGAGTGGCTGCATTAAAATTAGTGGTTGTCCTTTGCGTGTATGCAGGAGCACTTTTTGGATCACTTACGTATGCACAGCACAAATAACATCGGGACGAGCTTGATGAATGGCACCATGGATCATAAATGCCGCCTTGTTGACAGTTGTTTTACCCCGCACAATTTTACCCTCGTGATCAACAAGGATCAGATCACTCGCTTTAATGTGTCCAAAGTACATGCCAAATGGATTGACCCTATGTATATATGCAAGATGGGTATGTAAGAGAGAGAGAGCCAAACCTGGCTATGGTCCCTTTATCTTTGCCCTTACCAAAATAGGTCTTCATACTCTGGATCACGGCAAGTCAAATGGCCTGGCAATAGATAGGTGGTACAAAGGATCACAATGAGCGCATGTTACGCAATCGCTTCCATCACACGGGTACAAACCTGCTACACCTTCATCGTAACCAAGCTGAGCCATGATACGGAAACCAGCCGCCAACTTTTGCTTCATATGCACACGTTGCTCATGGACGTCATTGAATGTGGGTAGTTGTGGGATAGAGATAGGTGCGTTTTCAGCTGCACGAGCCTCTTCTTCGGTCTCAGTACCAGAAAGCACCACCTTACGCTTGGAACGCAAAAAGATGGCATATTTTCCAGGCTCTCGTTGTTGTTTGATTGGTTGGCGGACACCTTCTTCACTGTGAAAAGAATGCAATCATGATGATTAGGTAAATGGATGCACCCGAGAATGCATATGCTTACGTTGTCATCATGCTTTGTTTGTGGTGGTGTGTAAAGTATAAAAAGACAACACTCAGCTTCTCTCCATATTTATACCCTTCCTCCAAACTATGTGTGGCGGTAGTTGATTTCACACACACATAATCCGAACACCGGTCCGGACGATTTGGTTTTCTCACAGAGGAATAATGCATTATTCAGCACGAGTTATCGTGTGCTTGCTTTCATAATCCTGTATTAGCCTTCTTCTTCTCTTACATTGTTGCATGGTTACAAGGCTGCATTGATTAAAGTGATCCTTTCGATTCCCTCGATCATTTTTTTCCTCTCGTAATCATAATCAAAGTCAGCACACAAATGCAGCGAACGTGCCTGTCAATACCACATACCTAGTAAACCTGGCATGGGAATAAATGGAATCCTCTTCCTGTGATCGTGGAAATTGTACTCTCGGATCAAAGCATCAAAACATAAACAAAAGCGCAGCTCCCATCGGCTAAAAAGCGCACCATGCACGAATCATAATATGTCATCGATCAAGGCGTGCATGCCGTATTACTTACACCAGGGGTAGTGTGTGTGTAGGATTGAATATTTGTGCTGTTGGTTGCTACCGTTACGGTGCCATGGAAATGATGACATGCCTTATACAAGCCATTCGTATCCATAGCAACCCGCTTAAAAGCCTTTTGCTCTTTTACGGCGATGATGACTACCATGTTTGTATTCTCGGTATAGACGCATTTACATCTAGCAACATCCACACGACTCGGTGTAACGTCAAAGCAAACATAGGTGCTAAGATAAAATAGGAGTGTGTGTGCACTTTGGGAGGTGGTTACAGTAAAACTAGCCCAACAAAGAAAGCGGATCAGTGTACACAGAGGGGCGCATGATGTTTCCTTGCTATGTAAGAAGCTTGGATGTTTGGGAGATGAATAACGTGATTAGGTGTTATCAATTACGCCATTTGCATTGTGATTTGAATCCTTTTATGATGGGTAAATTGAAGTGCGTGGATACCCCTTGTCATTTTGGATCGACAATTTGTTGATCTTTTCCTGTGCACATAGCCCACATACACAACACCCCATATGCTCAAGGTACAGAAATGGGACCTTTGGTGATGATGTATTTCCCCCCTTGAAGATCGGTCGATCCCATGTATTATGTGTGACACCATAGCTGTCAACAAGGAGTAGATATGTTTGGAGTAATAGATAAGCAATACATTGTGATCCTCTATTTCTATCGTTACAACATGTGATACGCAGGAATTTTCTAGAGCTGCGGGTATAGTGTATATATGATAATTCAAGCAATAATGGAACGTAGGCTTCCGGAGACACGTTTGAATAGAGTTGGTGGTCTCAAAGGTGACATGGTTGATGGTGAGCGGCTATTGTTGCTATTGACTACGTGATTTGGATGAGATGTACGGCTGTGACGGTAAAGCGATGAGCGATCTGCTGCACGTAGTGGTTCACCAGAATAGCTGAATGATGAAGAAGCTGATGTTGCGGAGGAAGTAGAAGTGGCGGAAATGGGACGTGCACCCAAGTCAGCATAGGATCGGCATAATGGACAAGCAAATGCGGGAAAGTGCTGATCCAATAAAGGACGAAGGCAATCGTAGTGATAAACATGGAAACATGGGGACACAAAAAGAGCTTGTGTGGGATGTAACCCATCAAGGCAAATACAACATTCTTGTCCACCAAATGCGGATTGGAATTGCTTTTGGGCTGTGGGGCTGAGCGTCAACGCCTGCTTGTTATTGTGATGCTCAGCAGCAGGGCGCACCGATATTCGTATCCTCACAGCTCGATAATGCGCCTCGTGACCACCTTCGTAATCCATTCCCAGCTGAATAAGATCCCCGTCTTGCACCTGTTGTTGTGTGCATCGCAATCGGATATGATTCACAAATGTGCCTGATGACGATCCTGTATCACATAGAAACAACTACACACCACCTTTAGTCATATAATCGAAAAGAAGGAGGAGGATGTTGTGGGAATAAAAGAGGGAGGCATGTACGTTGATCATATTACTACTATCCACCAACCCCTACTGTACCTTGCCATTTTCGCACCACATCTTGGCATGGTGGCGACTGACTACTTTGCTTTTGAATGATAGATGGTGACCAGCAGTACGAGCATCATTGTATCTTCCCAATTTCAATACAGTGCCATTTGATAGATCTCGTTCCATCACAGGAAAGACGTGGCAAGGCATATCGTGATTGACGTGGGGTACCAAGCGTATATGAAGTTTCTGGTTGATAGGCGTAGTAGTGGTGTCGCTTTGTTGTTGTGCGTTGACATGTTGCGTAGATACCAATCGTGATGATGCTTGGTCGCTGCAATGGATGCCTGTGGGCCTTGTTGTTGTTGTTGTTCTCGATGATGGTGAGCTGCACATGAATAAACAGGGTTTCAAGCCGAAAGGTGGCATCCTTTTCTTTTTATATATAAGCTGTGTGGGGAGGAGGAGGGATAGCGTACAATCCAAACCAGAAACCAGTCAATAAAACGGGGACAATGCAGAAATGGAACTAACGAAAATGATCATCACCCAAAACAATTCTTTATAAGATTATTACTTGACGCACAACTCTATCGAAAACGGCATTTTAATCCCAACTATTGAGCCTGTTCAGAAGCCTGTATAACATCACAAATGATACAAAGTTAGGATAATCCTGCAGAATGACCTACACGCACGCACACACCCATCCACGCCCACACTTTCCCCCCAAACACCGCCATCACGTTTCATAGACGTGGTTAAAACACACGTCCCCACGCCAACACTTACCATATTTCCTTCGTGCTTCCATTTGTGTATTGCGACTCGATGCATATTGCTCATTGAGCTGTTCTTGCATGCTTTGTGCTTGAGCTGCCAGAGCCATGATGTTGTTCTTTTTACGTTGCAATCCGCTCGCCGATAGCTAAAAACAAGCAATAAAGATCATTCATGCAATTAATTACACATGGTCCTTGTATACGCATGATCCCCATGGCGTGTGCCCGGTTACATTACCTGTGCTGCATTGGTCATAAACTTGGGTGCCTGCATTTGCTTCATGCGTTGATGGAAATCGTCCGTTGGGAGCATATCTTGTTGATTGATCGTCTTGATCTTTACGCCCGTATCACGTTGTTTCCTCTTGCCAGTAAGCCGTGTATACTACAAAGTTAATTAGCACATCATATCCCAATCATGATGTTTAATTAATTCTCTATTTACCGTTGCATCATCCATATCAGCAAAGGGATCGTCAGATGTGCCACCTTGTGCTGCTGCTGCTGCTGTATCATCAGATGACTGTTGCTGTTCTTGTTGCTGTTGCCAATACTGATAATATTGATAATAGGTGTTGGGATCGTACGAATACATGGCATTGGGATCTGGATTGGTATATGCATACATGTCAACTGCTGTCTGTTGTGGTTGTGATGGTTGTTGTTGCTGCTGCTGCTGTATTTGTTGTTGTGGACGAGATTGTGATGCTGATGCAACCTGAGCCACAGATGTTGATGATGATGATGATGATGATGTCTTTTTGGATGTTGTCGTATTCTTGGTGAATGATGGTTTTGACTTGAGTTCGGCACCTATATCCGCGCATATACACGTTAGCCACGTTGAATTGCATGATTCAAAAGCATTTCCTTTTCCTCCCACGTGGTAAAAGACAGCTTCAACTTACCTAATCTGAAGAAAGGACCCGAATGATCGAGTGGCACATCCTCCTCTTCTTCTTGTTCTTGTCCCTGCATCGACTCTGGTTCCTGTTGTTGCTCATCCTCGGGTTCCAATGGTGCCTCGACCTGCTTCTTCTCGGCAATAGGCTCGGCTTTCTTTGCATTTGAACTACTTTCGCCTCGTGCTGTCAAGCTCTGCTCAAGTGTATCTGCAATGGATGGTTTGCTTGTAGCAGTGGTGGTGGTTGGTTTGTTGCGTGAAAAAGTATAGCCGCCACGTTTGGGTGCAGGTAATAACGATGCTAGATTTGAAGCACCCGATGTGTTGACCTTTTGTCGCTTTGCTCGTTTAGCTTGTTGCTCTTCCTCATCGTCTGATTGACCACCTTTGGGTAAATCGACATATATAACAGGCTTTGAAGTGTTGGATTTGTTGGCTGATTTGGGTGGTGGTAGGAGTGATCCAAGTGCACTCTTCGAAGTCGACTTTGCAATGGAAGGAGTAGGCGTTGATGACTCGACATCCGATGACTCTGAATCAGAGCTACCATAGTTGGCGACAAGTGACATGGTGCAATGAAGCGTGTGGTGGTGGTGAAATAGGAGATAGAGAGAGAGAGAGAAACGAAAAGATGGTACCAGCTGAATCGAATTATAGGATTTCATTCACTCCACTTCACACACACCCACACACACCAAAGACAGCCTTTCACCATCCAATGTTGCAAGAATACAATATAGGCTTCATCCCATCCCCTTTTGAATAAAGCTATGGCTACATTATCTGGTGCAGGATACAATTTAGTGCTGATAGAGAGTGGCAGTTGATATAGACATGGGTAGTAGTGTGCATTTGCCACCACCATCCACGTGTACTGCTATTGCAGTGCCATTGAAGTTACAACTTGTGTGTCATGTCTCTTGCATCATGTTTACGTTTTACATACCTTGAAGAGATTAGAATGCAGTATCCTTTCTATTGGATCCAAACTTGAGTATTGTGGATGATGACTATGTATAGACCCATCTCCTCTTTGCCTGAGTTACACAACGTACATCGACTTGACGTAAAATTAATGCATTCGCATGTGAGCGAGACCCTGGAACATGATGACAAAATAGACCGTTACCCACCACACAAACCCCCGCTCAACATCTTTTTTCCACTTGTACTTCTCTAATCATGTCAGCAACAGACATTCAACAGCTTAAAGACCAAGTCCATGAGAATATGCAAGGAGCTGTCACCATTGTTGGTAAGCATAGCCTCTCATTTATTATGCATACAAGCACACACAATTCACACACATAAACAAAAAGTACTTGGTGCATCGGGTGATCTTGCCGGCAAAAAGACATATCCTGCTATCTTCAGCTTGCTTCGTAATGGGTTAATGCCCGAGAATGTCCATGTCACTGGTTATGCACGCTCAAAGTTGGATCGCGACGAGTATGTAAAGCGTATCACAGCTCATTTAAAGGATGCTAGCGAAGAAGACAAGAACAAGTTTTTGGAAGTGACCGATTATGTCAGTGGCCAATATGATCAAGACGACTCGTGGAAATCACTCAATGAACACCTTGACAAGCTCGAGGAGAAGCGTGGATTGAAGGAAGGTCGAAGGAATCGCGTGTTTTACATGGCATTGCCACCCTCTGTCTTTGTCACTGTCGCCCGTGGTTTGCGTAAATTCGTGTACACCGACAAAGGACATAATCGCATCGTCGTTGAAAAGCCTTTCGGTAAAGATTTGGAGAGTTCGACTGAGTTGGCCAAGGATTTGGGCGAGTTGTTTAAAGAAGACGAGGTATGTGCAATCTCTTTTATTTTGCTTTCCTACTCACATGTCATTTCATAGATTTATCGTATCGACCATTATCTCGGCAAGGAAATGGTCAAGAACATTTTGCCGCTACGTTTTGCCAATATGATACTGGATCCAACCTTTTGCAACAAGACCGTTGACAATGTTCAAATCACTCTCAAAGAGCCCTTTGGCACTGAAGGACGCGGGGGTTACTTTGACGAATATAACATCATCCGTGACGTGATGCAAAATCGTAAGTGTTTGTGTGTGGGGGATGCATAAAGATAAAAATACATTGAAGAAAACAAATAGACTTGCTTCAGGTGATGTCTCTTATTGCCATGGACAAGCCTGCTGGTAATGATCCTGAATCCACACGTGATGCCAAGGTGAAGCTGCTGCGAAAAGTGAAACCCATTGATATCAAGGATACATTGTTGGGCCAATACGTGGCTAATGGTGATAAGCCCGGCTACAAGGATGATGATACAGTGCCCAATGACAGTGTTTCGCCTACGTTTGCTGCCCTTGTGTTGTATGTGGATAATGACCGATGGCGTGGTGTGCCGTTTATTATGAAGGCTGGAAAGGCTTTGGATACAGCAAAGGTCGATGTGCGGTTGCAGTTCCGAGATGTTGAGGAAGGGTTATTCAAGCAAGCTGCAAGGAACGAGCTCGTGTTACGTATTCAACCTGGCGAGGCAATTTACTACAAGCTCAATAACAAGAGCCCTGGTTTGACCTACCGCCAAATTGTCACTGATCTTGATCTTACATACAAGGATCGATACAAGGATATGAGTATCCCGGACGCATACGAAACACTCATCCTCGACGTGATGCGTAGTGACCACTCCAACTTTGTTCGTGATGATGAGCTTGACGCTGCATGGAGGATCTTTACGCCACTGCTCCATAAGATTGATCGAGAAAAGATTCAACCCAAACCATATCCTTATGGCAGCCGTGGTCCACAAGAATTGGATGACTTTGTGACACGCTATGGTTTTAAGCGTGATACCAAAGCACCTTATGAATGGCCTGTCCAAAGTGTTGGAAAGTAAATAGGGCTGACGTGGAAGGAAATAACAACAACAATAAAGGACATCTTTTGCGCATCATGAAACAAATAATAGTAGTGGGGTGAAGCATTTGTGGAGTATGATGATGAAAAGGAACTACCATTCTTAAATCCCTAAATGGTGTGGATCTTCATTTTGGTTATGAATCAATGGGATCATCATCAATGTTGTTGGAGCGGACATGCGTGAAATACGGTAGGTGAGACAAGATCCTTGCGGCGATGCGCCCAACATTTTTTGTACGACATGCATTGGAGTGATAACAGCCACCATGGATGTGGATCATCATAGTGCTCGATCACTATGGCGGTCGTACGCTGATCATCGATCTGGTATCACGGCAACCATTCATGCTCAAAGCTGCGGAGAATACTGATGGGATCGAGAGGCCCATTGTTGCCGCTAATAATGTTGCTGCCATGAGATAAGATTTGACACATCAAGCAACTCAGTGCATGGCATTAGGTGTATGTATGATGCTTTTTGAAAGGGACCTTTTATTTGATGAGTTACTGATGCTAGATAGCGTTATGGTATGTAGAGGAAAAGAAAAAGTGGTAAATGATACTACAAAGAAAGAGCGGCGCATATGCATAGCAACAGGTATTTCCCTTTTCTTTGTCTTTCACTCTTCCCGTTCCTTTCACCCACGCCCTCTTCTCTTTTTGGTCTCATTCGTTTGGCAATGCAACAAGCACCTGGCAATGCAACGTCTCCACTTTCATGGAATCAGCATCCTGTTATGAACAATACCACAACTGGTTCTGTGTCGTCGAGCTCGCCCATTAACTCGCCCATGGCATCTCCACTCCATTCACCTTGCGATTCGCCACGAGAGCAGTTGCATAACCAGTTTGCCAGACAAGTATCTTTGCAACCACCACCTGCAACATCCAATACGCCTTCGTCGAGTCAAACATCAGCCAAGCCGGGCAGTGGCAACACCTTCGTGCATAAACTCTTCAAGTAAGAATGACATGCGATAGTACCATACGCGTTGTTTGACAATGGATTACATATTAGCATGGTTGGGGATCGACAATATCAGCATTTGATTACATGGACATACACGGGGACATCATTCATTGTTTGCAACATTACTGAATTCTCTCGAGATGTGCTCCCAAAGCATTTCAAACACAATAATTTTAGCAGCTTTGTGCGCCAATTGAACATGTACGAATGAATGCACTATTGGGAAAGGGATGATGATTGACATCTTGTATCTTTTCCAGGTACGGATTCCATAAAGTGAACAAGTCACCTAGAGGACATCGAGCTCTTGCTGAGAATCAGATCTGGGAGTTTTCTCATTCAAAGTTTCTACGAGGAAGAGGTGATCTATTGGATGAAATCAAACGCAAGGCTCTCGAAACAGATGCTGTACGGCGAGACCAAAATGATATCAATACCCAAATGGCCGTGATGCAGGTGGCTCAATCCGACATGATGCAGCAATTAGCGCACCTTCAGGAGAACTTCTCCCAAGTTGTAAGAGAGCTTGCTGATACAAGGCGTAGACAACAATCACAGCAGCAAATGCTTAAGCAAATGCTTCAACACATGACCCAACAACAAGGTGCTTCATGTAAGTAATGTCCTTTTATATGTACAAATTTCGCATAATTAATCGCCTCTACTATGTTCTAGTACAAATCCCTCCTGATTTTACTGCGTTGGATATCAAAGCCGAACCTGAGCAATCACAGCAACCATCATCACATCAACCTCCACCAATTTATATCACTTTTCCTCCTCAAAATGCGTATCAACAACAACAACAACATGCGCCATCATCACCACATCCACCATCATCACCTAATCATCATCGTCATCATGATCAATCACTACCATCTCGACCTGCAGTACCCCTGACTGTACAAACACAAAACTTAGCCCCATCTCAATCACCGCATCATACCACCACCACTACTCCTTCCCACAGTCCAATGATGACAGCTGCTATCAACACACCTTTACCACCAAGTCCTAGCCCATCCGCTTTCTTATCCGATGATGAAGGATTCTACGGCCCTCATAGTCCACACACACCAAATGCCATGCAACGCAGCATTAGTAACACTAGTACTAATAGCCATCTCATGCCAGCAGAGAGCTTCATGTTACAGCAACAACAACAACAACAACAAACACAACAGCAATTTTCCTCTTCCATGCATCAATCACATGACCCATCCTATTCTCATCAACCCCATTATCATTCATGATGGCATTGTATCTCTATTATTGTACATTGTAACGGGCATAAATAAGGCACTATGGGTGGATGAATGAAACATTTACATGATCTGAGAGGGTTACACAAAGATTTGGGAGGCCGGCAACCAAAATTTGGCTTCTGAACGCGTTGCCTTGATTCTTTCTCTTCATCCATACTCAAAAATGGTAAGCTATGGTTACAAGGAATAATTCGATTCAAGATGTCCTATTTATTCATGAATTGATGGATGAATTGGATGAATTGGATGGATGGATGGATGGATGGATTGGATGGATGCGTTATTGGATTGGGATTGGGATTGGGATTGGATCAAGTATCTTTTACTAATCGTGCTTTTTTCATCGATTGTAGTCTGCTGCCAGACCTGTCATCAACGTCTACTCCGAGTCCGGTAAGGCTGCCAACAGCACTGTTGCCCTTCCTGCTGTCTTCAAGGCCCCCATTCGTCCTGACATTGTCAACTTTGTCCACACCAACATGGCCAAGAACAAGCGTCAACCCTATGCCGTTTCGGAGAAGGCTGGTCACCAGACCTCTGCTGAGTCTTGGGGTACTGGTCGTGCTGTTGCTCGTATTCCCCGTGTCAATGGCTCTGGTACCCATCGTGCTGGTCAAGCTGCTTTCGGTAACATGTGCCGTTCCGGTCGTATGTTCGCTCCTACCAAGACCTGGCGCAAGTGGCACATCAAGACCAACTTGAACCAAAAGCGTTTCGCTACCGCTTCTGCTTTGGCTGCTTCCGCTCTTCCTTCTTTGGTTATGGCTCGTGGTCACCGTGTTGAGCAAATTGAGGAAGTTCCCCTTGTTGTCTCCGATAACGTTCAAGCTGTCAACAAGACCAAGGAAGCTGTTGCTATCTTGAAGGCTCTTAACGCTTATGAGGATGTCCTCAAGGTCTCCAACTCTCGCAAGCTTCGTGCTGGTGTTGGTAAGATCCGTAACCGCCGTCATCGCCAACGTCGTGGTCCCCTTGTTATCTACAATGAGGATAACGGTCTTACCAAGGCTTTCCGCAACTTGCCTGGTGTCGAACTCGTCAACGTTCGTCGCTTGAACTTGCTTCAACTTGCTCCTGGTGGTCACCTTGGCCGTTTCATCATCTGGACCCAAGGCGCTATTGCTCTTCTTGATGAGCTCTATGGCACCTACGAGAGCCCTGCCACCCTCAAGAAGGACTACGTCTTGCCTGCTCACATCATGACCAACCCTGATGTCACTCGTCTCATCAACTCTGATGAAGTTCAATCCGTTGTTCGTCCTGCTGGTCCCAAGACTGTCAAGCGTCCCTTCACCCAAAAGAAGAACCCTCTTCGTAACCAAGGTGTCATGAACCGCCTCAACCCCTATGCTCAAGTCCTTCGTCGTGCTGAGATCCTTTCTCAAGAGAAGCGTAAGGCTGGCAAGGTCTCCAAGGTTGCTCAACCCAAGAAGAAGGCTAGCACTGCTGCTTCCAAGAAGTGTAAGTAATTGAGAATGGCAAAGTGTGTGTGTATATATTTTGGATTCTAATGGCTTGTTGTTCTTTGTCTATAGTCACCGAGATCCTTCGCTCTGCTTAAGCATTTTTCATCAAGCATCCATCGTATCACCGTATAGTGATTCTATCATTATAACAAAGCTTGTTGTCAACTATGTATTCATTTCACGTGTGGAATGGATTGGATGGGTACCAAAATTATGTATGCAAGGGACGTGGGCTGGTTGTGAAGGTTTTCAATTTAGTCGTGGGCCATCGCCTTTATTTTGTGGAGGGACAATTTCAATGGTGTCTTGGGGGTGTTTATACTCGAAAGGTTTCTTTAAAGCTTATGTGCACCAAAATAAGGTCATCAAACAATGGTGTCACAAGGATCATCGGTTGTACTTGATAGATGCATTCTCCGAGCTTGCATGAAAGAGGATCACGATTACCCAAACACATGTTTTCTTGCTCTTTTTTCCGTGTATGTATTCCGATCAAACGCGTTACAACAACGACTGAGTGATGCTTATGGGCTGAATGTTTGTTATTGGGAGTTGGGGGATGATCCTCAGCCTCGCTGTGGCATCACCGCATTAAATTTCGTATAGCAATACGTTACATACACGCTGACTACATTTCCATAGCAACCCCCCAAGATGCTTCACTTTGGGCACATTCGTAGTAGCATTTAGCACCATGCTCCAACAATCGAGTAGTACAAACGTGTCGTTTCTTGGTCATACAAAATGATGACCTTCCTCCCCCCCTCCCAAAACCTTAGCATCGTTTCGTGAGCTATCCTTAGTATATACCCAAAGTCCATTGAGGGAATTCATGGGGGTAATACTGATAACCTTGATGTATGGGGATACAAAAGCTCGAATGCCGACCTCTTGATAAGTATATAAAAAGGGAGGTGTTACTACCCTTGCTGTTGTTGCATTAGCTGCCACTGCTACCGCTTCCAAAATTTTTGGCAAAGACACCATTGTCAACCGTGTTGATGATTATCGCGACAACTACGAGATTCCAAAGGATAACCTTCTCCCTGACGAGTGCGAATCCTAGGTGAGCCATTGTGAAGAGTAAGTGCATTTTTGATTCAAAACATACCTCACATGCATATATTGACCAAACCTCTTCCTATGTATAAAGATACATAAGGAAGGAATTCCCCATTGCTTCTCCTGCTGAACATGAGAAGAACCATATCCCTGTTGCTGAATGTGGTCAAGGACCTGCTTACACTGCCATGTCTCTTTCTTGCCATGCCATCAAGGCCAATCAACAAACCGCTGAACTTGCAAAGCTTAGCGGCTACAAGCGTTGCACCGGTGAATCGTCGTAATTCTCAATACACACCTTTACCATCATATGGATCCCGCCACCACCCCTTGAATCTCCTTTGTTATCCATCACACTCACTCGTAGCTAGTTGGATAAATAAAGTCAACAGCCTTGCATATCAGTGTCATCCATCTATGATGAGCACAGCGTGTTTAGTGATAAAGAGCTATCATATGGGTCAAGTCATACCCCTTTTCTTTCAAAAGCAACGTGACCAAATTGGGCACACGGTACGCATTTTCGCAAGATGACGCGACATTACCCAATGTGAATGAGAACAAAGCTCACTCGGTATACCAATCATGCAGGGATGATGGCTAATAATGATGATGTTGGAATTCATTGTCCAGCGCTTGTCCAAAAAAAAGGGCTCGTTGCTCAAGGTTGTGAGTTTGGGATACAAAGGAGCAAGGTTTCAGGAGATTCGTATGAGGTAGCTCCTTCCACTCACCTTCAAAATCATTTGCATTGAATGAAACTTGGTACACCCGGTAACAATGATGCCTACAAAAGTTGCTTTTTCATTCGTAAAGAAGATGTTCGTATGTGGTCTTTCAGCGAATTTGTCATGCCGTGCATATGGCTTATGGTGATCATCACATGATAAGAACCATAGTGATGGTGGTCATAAGGTGGATTCAAGAAGACGATCATGGAGGCGGAAAGAAAAGACGGCCAGCTGTCCACGTGTGGCTCGGCTGCATAAAGTGTATCTTGCAGACCGAGACTTCCCGGATAACAATGCACGCATAAATTTGGAGTAATCTTGCATGATATGTATTACCACAAAGATCTCGCCGGGGATGCATGGGTGGGATTTTCCCTTCGTGTCAACGTTTTAAGGGCTGTTATTGCTTTCGTGTGATACGATGGTCAGCTTTCAAGGTGAAAAAATTGGATGGTTTATGATTTACATACATCGAACGATGACTACTCGACCTGTTAGACATCAGGGGTATCACAACGTTTGTCTGTGTGTTTGAAGATGTTGTCAATAATCTTATTTCGTTGCTCGCTGATCTGCCGATGAAATATGCAAAGGGCGGGAAGATACCAAATTGGGCGATCGTGGAAACACACAGCAGGTTAGCAATGACTATAGTGGATAATAATATCAAGGAGCCGATCCGCTTGATGAAGTTATGGCACATGAACGTAGGGATTGTTAAGTAGGTAAGTTCGGTTGATGATTCCATGTAACCCACGTGGATGATGGGGACATGCATATACATGCTGCAGCTTGCTTTGGCTAAGCTATTCGGAGAAGTGGCTAGTAAAAGGTAGTAGGGAGCATCGGAAAAGGGGTCGTGCCAAAGGGGTTGTCATGCATACTATGATGAGGTTTAATACCTCTTACCCTATGTTGTATAGCAATTTATGCGTCCATCTCCAAATGAGGCGTCTGCACAATCGCCTCCCGTCATCCATCATTGTTCTCGTTATTGGTGCAATACCGACCGGCTATGATCATCTTCAAAGCCGCGCACCTACAACTTCAGTTCCAAGCCTCTCAATGTGTTCATTCAACAAGCAGTAATAACAAAGACCACGTTTACATCGGTGCTGTTTCTTGATATGGAGGATGGATGTTGATGGTAACATCATCTTGGGAAGTTTGTGACCCCATGGAACTCTTTTTTTTCTTGTGCAATGGCTCGATCTTTTTTCTACTCCTTCCCTTTTTCTTTCCACTATCTTTTCTTTCACATTGCTTTCTTTTTCTCACTCGCATTTTCATATTTGCATTCACCTCTCATCCATTTACATTATTCCCCATGTCAGCATTTACTAGAGACGTATGTGTAAGAATAGTCAACGAAATCAAATGGATCAACGCTGATTACATACGCTATAGCCACGCATATTCACGCCACTTGTTGTATATCATGATCATCCTTCGGCAGCCATCCCATCTCCACAATACCAAATCGATCGTCATTTAGCCAAAACCACTGAAATGCTTCGCCACAATGCACACTTTTGGGTCTCGTCGCGGGAAACACAGAAGCAAACACAAAACACGACCCTATCATTTCGCCTAGAAAGTCCTCTCGTGTCACCAACTGCATCCACATCCACATCTAGTTGGTCATCAGCAACATGCGAATACCAACAACCACAACGACATTATACGAATCAGCAGCAACAGCAGCCGCATCCACAACCCCGAGCATCCACTAGTAAACGACGTCGTGGCAATCTCCCTAAGCAAGTGACCGAGTATTTGAAAGCATGGCTCGTCGACCACAAACAACATCCATATCCATCTGAAAAAGAAAAGCTTCACCTTGCTCAACAAACGGGTCTTACGGTAAATCAAATCAGCAATTGGTTCATCAATGCACGTCGTCGAATCTTGCAGCCGATGCTTGAATCAGAGTCTCTCCAAGCCCGACTCATTGGACAGCATCTATATGGCTTGAGACAATGTAAGGGGCTCAAGGGGTTATTGGTGGATGAGTGTGTGTGGAAAGGAGTTACAGCAAATATGATCATGAAATTTGGGGGTGATGAGAAAGGGCATTGGACATTGACGACATCCACCATTTGACCTATAGATGACATAGCTGGATTAAGAGGATTACCACCACCACCAGCAATATCATCATCATCATCATCAACTATGCTACCACCACCACCACCATCATCATCATCATGGGCTTTTGGCGAACGTACTACAATGGACCATCATGTGGATGCGGATCGGGTCACCCGTGACACCACTTGACCATTTGGTGTTACACGTCAACATTATCGCTTTGACACCGTGTGACCTTGGAGTAATTTAGTAGTCTGTGCGTCGCTGATTTACAGCCACAGAGTATTCCCATCCATCATGCTTTGCTCTCTACACATTGCATGCTACGAAAAAGAGACATACACGCCTCATGTAACCTTAGACAGCTCAAACTCATTTTGTATCATTTCGCACTCTTTGCTATTATCTGCATACTATTCCCCCGCTTATTTGCATTCATATCATCATTCATATCAACAAAAGCCTTTTGTCGGTGTTGAGCATCGTAGCTGAATGGAAAATGTACATGCCTTCTCCTTTTGTAAATCATTCTCACCTCCCGAGGATCTTCGAATTTTATCATCTATGCCCACGTTGTGGATGACGGCGTCTTGCATTGCATAGAGAAAAAGCTTTTTCTTTTTAAAGTTCGGCACAGGCACCGATTCATTTGCAGCCAATGGATTACACGCCACCTTGTTTTTCTTTTGAATAAAATGTGTTGTATCCACGTGGCCGATACAGCCGTCAGCGACTCAAGTGCTAGTGCCTTTCGATTCAGCGCTTTGTATTGTGATTTACAGGCATAGCAATGAACTCTAACTTTGTTGAACAAAGGGCATACGCTAAAAATACATGATGATGCATACAATACCATGAGAGTGAGGAAGAAATAAAACGTTCATTGTTCATTGCAGTCATTGTAAGCTTGAAGAGGTAATGCTGGTTGTGAGCAATGCTCCTTGTGACTCTTGTAAATGTGGGTGATTGTTCTACGATATGCGATTTACAAAAGGAAGGCCCATGTTCCTCTCGACCAGCGTACGCGTAAGCCCTTGGAAAAGCTTGTTGCAGTTTTAAATGTGACCAAGGGTTAGTGGATTATATCATGCAACGCATCATGCTTGTGTAACGAGATGCATCAACATCGGCTATCCCAACATCCAACAACAGTCAGCTGTAAAACCCATTATCAGCCATCATCAACCACCTACGAGGCCTACAGAGCTGGCATTTATTGCTTAGCATAAAAGACATGGCCTTCAATGGCTTTAGCGACAATGTACATGTCTTGATCAATTGATTTCCTTTGCCATGTCATATAACAGACACCATGCACCAGATGTTTGGATTACAAAACGTCAAAGCCCAGCCATAATTCGATCATAATGCAGGATAGCGTAATGCCCTTTATTAAGGTACATTGAAAGACTCTTGTTCTATGAATCATCTATAACTCAAGATGGTTGAAGATCTTTGGGTCGAATATTAGCCATACTACTACGTACATTACGTATTAATGCAAGCCGTTTATTATTGTGATGGTGCTATGAGAAAAGAGCAATACATAAAAGTATACGATGCTAGTTTGGATAGAGAGTAGGGTTGGTCATTTGGAATACAAAGCTAAAACCATGGGACAATGAATCGCTTGCATGAGTAGAACAAAGAACAGCTGCATGAATATGGGAAGGATGGGACTGACTGGCTTTTTCGCGTGACGTAACTATTGGTACCAATAATGTCAGAAAGTAGCCCCGACTACGAGCTTCTCTTTTTCCTTGTACCAACCATGGAGGCACCTGCTGATACAGAGAACCCACCTCAACAAGAAAGCAATGAGGAACAACAACAACAGCAACAGCAACAGCAACAGCAGCAACCGATCGAGACGAATGAGAATGCACAGCCGTTAGAGGAGCAGCAACAACAGGCACTTGACGAGACTAGCCAATCCGCTGACGCGCCCAACGATTCGATGATTGCCAATGACAGTGAACAGCAGACGATGCCTAGTGCTGATCAAGCAGTTGCAGAGGAAGATACAACCTCCAAGCAAGATGAAGCGACGCCGATTACAAAGTCTGAAAGTGAGGCTCAACCAGAGAGTCAAGATTCAACGAGCAAAGAGGAAGCTGATACTGCAACACCCATGGATGAGGATGTCTCGCGTAAACCAGAAGATAATGCTGCTTCCAATGAGCAACAAACCGAGAAGGATCATAGTATGCCTGATGCTGAGCCATTACAGCAACAGCAGGCTTCTCAATCACCATCATTATCATCATCCACAACTCCTGCTACATCCACTCCACCTTCTCAATCCCAAGCAACGACATCTTCAACATCAGCAACAGCACCACAACCACCACCCCCATCCTTTATCAGTGAGCCTGCTTCATGGCAAATACCACCTAGTGCTCTACAAGCCAACAACACATCATCTCCCGGATTACGTGCTGCTAGTCCCGCCATACCAGCTGCTGCTGCATCGAATGTCTATAACAACACTCACATGGATGTTACACCTGAGCCAGCAACGAACAAGGCACAAGCTAAACGAGAGCGATTGGAGCAACGCATTGCCAAATCTCAATATGATTCCAATGCTTGGCTTGCTTTGATTAACGAGATTCAACAAACGGGTGATTTGGAAGCGACACGCGATGTCTATGAAAGGTTCCTTGAAGTTTTCCCAACAGCGGTAAGTATCATCAATTTCTCTCTATATCAGTCCGTTGGCCATCTTCATCTTTTTCATTTTACATTGGCATCCATGCGGAATAAATGCCATTTCGATCACACGCACACACACACTCTCTCTCGCTTCCACATTGCGCACTTCCACTTGGTTTGTTGGGGGAAAGGATATGCTGGTTGGATGGCATGGCTATGGCATATGGACAATTGGATGTTCGCAAACACATACGACCCCACCTTCTTTTCATTTTTTCATTTCCCTGGATGATGACATGGTTGACATTGCATGGATAGATGAACTGAGTTCCTATTTTGTTTGTTCTATAGTCGAGACAATGGTTGGCGTATTTGGAATTAGAGCTCAAGTACTCGAACTTTGCCGAAGTGGAAGCGTTATTTACTCGATGCTTGAAGACCGTGCTATCCGTTGATCTCTGGAAGTTTTATCTTGGCTATATTCGCCGTATCAATCAGGGCGATTCTGGCACTACAATGACACCTGAAGCTAGAGCGATCATTGAAAAGGCTTATGAATACGTTCTCAACAACGTCGGCATTGACAAAGAGGCAGGATCTATTTGGGCTGATTATATTTATTTCTTAAAGTCGGCAGAGGTAAGAGACCATGGTGTATACATTGGATGGAAGGATAGATGGAATATTGATTCGGTGCTTAATTAGGCTACGAATACATGGGAAGAGCAACGCAAGATGGATAGCATGCGCAGGGCGTATCAGAAGGCTGTCGCCATTCCTCTCAACAATGTCGAGCACCTTTGGAAGGAATATGATCAATGGGAGAATAACCTGAATCGACTTACTGTAAGTGGATACTCTCGTTCCAACGTCTATTGCTTACTTACTTGTGCATTGTATTAGGCAAAGAAATTCCTTGGTGAAAAGTCGGCAGCATACATGACAGCACGTACTGCCTTACGGGAGATGAAGGCGCTTACCGATGGTATCAATCGCAATGTCGTTCCTAGACCTCCTCAATGGACTGATAAGGAAATAAGTCAGGTATGCATATACATCCATGAAGGGGTGCGTTATGTCATGTGATCTAATATGGAACCATACTATGTCTTTTTTTCCTTTGTAGTTGGATTTGTGGAAACAATATATTCAATGGGAGAAGAATAATCCTCTTCAATTGGAAGACGAGAGTCTCGTGGTGGATCGTGTTGCGTATGCATATCAACAGGCGTTTCTTGTGTTGAGATTCTATCCAGAGATTTGGTATGACTTTGCCATGTATTATCATGAGATGGAGAAGCCTGAGAAAGCCTTGAGTGTTTTGAAGCAAGGCATAGAGGTGTTGCCAACAAGGTAAATTGGGATGAGAGATGTGGAAGGGAATACTTGTAATGGGCACACCATTGATATTGGGTACGTTATAGTCTTTTGATCAATTTTGCCTATGCCGAGGTTTGTGAGACGCGTCGCCAATCGGATGATGCTCGGCAGGCATTTGACACGCTCTTGGAGTATTTGGATAAAGAAGTTGAAAAGCTCCAAACTGCTTGTCAGGAAGAAGTCGACAAGATACAAGCGGATGCAGATGAAGAAAAAGCCAACATGAATTTGAGTGATGATATCGATGGCGAGATGCGAGAACAACTGCGTACACGTGAAAAGCAAATCAAGAAGGAGCAGGATGAAGTTAAGAATCGCACGAACGAACAAGTTTCCAAGCTAGCCAAGGCATGTTCATTAGTGTGGATCAACTATATGCGATTTGCTAGACGAACAGAGGTATGTGTGAATTGAAATCAGTGATCCATATGCGATGAACTCACCTGAGTACGGCGTCTTTAGGGAATCAAAGCAGCAAGAGCTCTATTCTCGCGTGCTCGCAAGGCTGCCAATCGAACATACCATGTATTTGTTGCATCAGGTAGGATACACTACAAAGATCTTAATGGGTATCTTACATGTATTGATCGAGTTTATTAGCATTGATGGAGTATCACAATAGCAAGGATGCGACCGTTGCTGGCAAGATTTTTGGTTTGGGACTCAAGCAGTTTGCCGATGATCCTGACTACGTGTGTGTGTACCTGGATTATCTTATTCAGATGAATGATGATAACAGTAAGTGCCTTGGATCCATTTGCTTCCCTCCTCCTTTTCTTTATTATTGACCATATTTTGTTATAGACACGCGTGCCTTGTTTGAGAAAGCGCTTGCCACTCTACCGCCTTCCAAGTCCGAGGTGATCTGGTCAAAGTTCTTGGATTATGAAAACAAGTATGGTGATTTACAGGGCATGCAAAATGTGGAAAAACGACGACGCGAAGCATTACCTTCCAGTAAGGATACAACGTACGCATATAAATTTCCAATGGTATTCATTTATTTTGTATGTAGTTACAAACACACAATCATTTCTTGAGAGACACAGTTATCTGGATGTTCATTCTATTGAAGAATTGGATCTTGGTGCTGAAGGTATAGTAACAAGGAGTATCTTACAAGTGTATGCTAATCCATCTATGTATCATAATAGTGCGCCAGCATAAGATTCCCGAGTCCAAACAAGCAGCAGTAGCAGCTGCATCGGCAGCAGCAGTAGCAGCAGCACCCGCAACGGCAGGCAGTGTCAATGCAACACCTGATCGTGGACGACAAAAGGATGGCAAACGACCCTTACTTGAAGCTGTGAATCCCGAGCGATACCCAAGACCTGATTTCAGTCAATGGCAATCCTTCAAGCCGTCAGAATCAAGACGAGCACCTGCTACCATGCCAACGTCGGCTCCTGGCAGACCTTCACCTGTAGCTGATATGGCGCCTGTACAAGTTAGTGCACCACCACCACCCATGCCCCCACCTACTTCAGCACCCATGGCAGGAGGTATGCCACCACCACCACAACAACAACAGCAACCACCAATGGGTCCACCAGCTTGGAGTCAACCCCCAACACAACCAGCAATGACCGCTCCATCACAACCTATGCCAACTCCCACAGCAGGTTTACCTGATCCCGTTGCATACTTTGTATCTAATTTGCCGCCACCACAAACATTCAATGGTAAGAGAGGAAAAGAGAATAAGAATGTGATCCACTGATACAAGGTATTATAGGTCCTAAGATACAAGCTGGTGAATTGGTGGATCTTTTACGCAATGTCATCATTCCTCTACCACAACAAGGCATGCCACCTGGTCGTGGTCCCCCACCTAAGCCTATGGGAGGTGGTCAACATATGCCTCCTCGGGATATGCCGCCACAACGAGGTGGATTTGGTGGTCGTGGACGAGGAGGTGGAGGTGGATTTAAAGGAAGAGTAAGTGAAATTCTGATATGACTGCATTGGTGAATCGATGGCTTATATATTGAATTGAATCAGGGCGGTGGACCTGGACGAGGAGGGAAACCAAATCAAAAGCGACGAAACCGTGATGATTATGATGACGATTATGGCTCTCACAAAGGTATGTTTTGGGGCATTCTTTTATGTATGTAAATGCTGATCCGCCATTTCCTTTTCAAAGGTATGGGACCTAATCGACCACCACCCTATGACGTCTTTCGATCAAGACAAGCCAAAAGACATAGAGATGATCCCGGTTACTAGTTCTGAATTACAGTTTGTTATATAAACATGCGATCCAGTCGATTATACATCTTTGTTGCGGATAATGGGATATGAAGAGATGTTTCAAAAGAGCTTTTGTGAGTATAGCGATTTTGCAAGAGCGAACAGGCCACCATGATATAATCAATCAGGTACCAGGTAATACGGTGTTTATATTGGTGATTGAAAGTTTAAATGAACGAATTGCATATGTAAACATTCGACAAGGCATCAAGAGCAGCCTTGTTGCTCCTCACTCGAATGAATGGGTTACCAGCTACTTATATGAGCCACGGGTTGCAGGACTTGTAGATTTTGGCAAAAGATAAGGATGTAAGCTGATATAATGTAACGGGCTTATGCAGCTTCATGCTGATAATGACGAAACTGGTGACCCTGTTTTCCCATAAATGACACACGCACCGATCACGTTGTATGGGCTAGTTGCATGCCACCCACGCTTAGTCGCTTTGGAACGCGAGATGGGTATGGTATCCAATGCATGCAACATTCTCCTCTTTTACTGTGTAAACGCACGTTCACATACCATGCAATGTTCTTTTTCATTCATTGATCTCTCAAATCCCTCGTGACAAGTACGAAAAAGTAATCCAAGTGTGATGCATTGTTGTAAGGTCGTATGCGTGGGAGCTTTGTTTTCTCTTTACTCCTAAGATTTCTAAACATTGATCTGCACAAGGCGATTAGATTCAAGGTAACGTGTCATCATCCCTCATCGGCTACACTCAAAGGATGTTGCTGCAGCAACTACAACTCATATGATCACTATCATAGCAAGTACGAAGACACCACCCCCTTTCACTCTCACTCTCCCGGAGTCTTTTTTGTATATCCATCATTCAAGCGGCGTGCATACCCTTATCATTTAGGCGTGTGATAGGTTAAGGTACATTAGTATTAAACTGAATGATGCTCGAATGATATGCATGTCGTACGTGGATGTTTGTAAATGTCTCCAATTTTTCCCGATCCTTGTTTCCCTCTCCCAAGATCATCAGATAAAAACCAAAAACGACGTTGTTTGATGAGTGAAATATGCTTTTGCTTGAATTCCAGAAAGAAAAAAAGAGAGGACAAGAGTGGTGGTATACGGTATTTACAATACAGGGAAGGGGATGATGAATGTGTGTAAAAAGTCGACTTGTGGATTGTGATGGTGGATGGCGGTATATGATGAAAAGGGGATTTTGTATCAATGTGTTGGTGGTGTTAAGCGGCAAGCGTCGTTGAGTCAGGATCGAACCAAGGACGATCAGGGTCTTCAGGTGCTGTCAAGTTCTGCAACTGCCATAGCAACAACATGACAGTGGTAGAAACGGTGGTAGCTACAAATGTAGCAGCAGCCAGTCGCTGCAAAAAGGGAGCTTGGCGGTATATAAAGCGTTGAATCGCTGAGCCTGCTGAATGAGATCCCTGGTCTGTGAGAAATGCTGACTGAGTAGATGACTGTGGAATGGTGAGGTATAGAGATTCGTAAGATGGCGGATCCTTGGGTATCAACGGCGAAGAAGGCGACGCTGTTGCAGCCATGTTTCTTTTACAAGGCGTGTGAGCGTTGGTGTTATAAATAGTCAAAAAGGTTAAAAGAAAAAGAGAAAAAGAGCAAGAAAGCCTAGTTTCACAAATGATTCTCAAAACATCCTACTTGGCCCTCCGATATGCAACGTGCATTATTATAAATACAGAGAGAGAGCCTTATAGAATATGAGCGTCAAAGGGTGACAACCGCTGATTGCATATTGACCTAGCAGCAACAAGAAAATCTCCTCTCTCTCTCTTTCACAAGTTCATATGACCCTATCATTTTCCATCTCATCATCCCTATCACCCTCTATAAAGTACAGCACGTTGTTTCCCGGATAACGCTGTTGTGTGCTATTGTCTCGAAACATGAATGGTCTTTGTTTGTATATGCCATTCTCATTGTTTGTCCTTTGACAGCTCGTTACAATTACTTTATTGGTTACCATGCTCCTCGTATGCCACAGCATCAAGTCGTACAACCTAAGCCTTTACCTGAAATGATTAAAAGCTCAAGAGATCATCCGTGCTTCCACATTCCAAACACGCTTCTTGTATACATACATCCCTTACATGGAAGAAGAAAACAGAACAAAGGAGTATTCCATTAGCTGCTGCAGAATTTCGATACATCCCATTTCCAGGGCAACACCCTTCTTTCGAGACCCCCCCCTCACAAACCCCAATCATCGTTATTCAAAATAGTACTACCTATCATGCTGGTTGAACAACTACTACCAAGGTTGGGTGGTTGTTGAGCCTTATATAAACGCTTAAAGGAATGAGCCGAAGACTGCCATTGGGTGTCCTTTAGTAGCTACTCAAAAGTGAGCCATATGATGATTGTTTGCATTGCATTTATTATAGTAGACCACTGTTTCGTGTTATGTAAGATTGCTTTTGTACACCAAATACTAATCCATGCAAATTTCAATGATGCATATGAACGCCCTTGGATGTTTTGAAAACGTAACGCATCTATCCTATATGCATTTAAGCACTGTTTTTCTTCCTTTTCCCTCGAAATGTTGTTCCAGCTTTTCTAGCATTCCCATGGTCTTGTAGACAGCAAGAGGCGATGCCTATTTGACACGTGGTCAGATGAACTTTTGTTTTTGACGACACTTAATGTTGATCGGATGTAGTAATGACTCCTACCTACATAGTAGGATGATCCGTGAGCACGTAATTCGGCTCAATCATGTTGTGCAAGGTGAGGTGGCGGCATAAAAGTCAATGTCAATCCAACCATGGATCCTATTTATCCCACGCTTATACTTTTTCCCTTTATGCTTTGAAGCAAGCCAAAAGTGTGATGAGATCAGATATAAAGAAAATGGTGTAATTTGAGTTTCGAGGCACTTCTTTAGGCATCAAAGGCGGGGACATGTCGGGTTACGGCATCTTTATATGGTAGAGCATGTTTGTGATCCGCAAAGGCTTGAAAGACCGACATTGATCTTCGGGCGACACAATATGGACGGGTTGGGCAAAGACATGAGACAAATGAGAATTGTCTTGGGTAAAGATTTCTTCATTCTCTTTCTTTTATTTACCTACTATCAATAATCTTTACTTCTTCTCATGGCCATTAATGAATCAAGGCTAAAGAGAGAGCTCAAGGCTCGGTTTTTGATCCGGCCCCCTGTGGACGAGGATCCCCGTTTATTGAGATCATCAATGAAAGGTTTTGTTCTTGTTGTGCTTGCTTTGACTGCTGCAAGTGCCGGTTTTTCGAGTACGATTTACTTCCCTGGTAAGCTACGCCATCCTGATTTGTATGCCCTATTGCTTATAATATAGCGACGATGATTGTATAGGTATTCCCGATATCACCTCTGATTTACAGGCACCACCAATTGCAACAACGTTAACGGCCGCGTTGTTCATTCTTTCGATGGGTATTGCACCTGTGATATGGTACCTTTATCACGTATAGCGTTGTATGTGGGAACGAGTGATATGCTAACTTGACTCTTTAAAAGGGCATCCATCTCGGATTACTATCGATTACGCCGTGTATTATTTATCTTGTCAATGTTGATCTTCTCGCTGGCATCTCTGGGGTGTGCTTTAATGACCAATATTTGGGGTCTTGTGGTGCTTCGTTGCGTACAAGCAATTGGTGCCTCTTGTGGACAATCAGGTAATAGGATGACCTGTATGCGCATTGTGTTGTGGGAAGCAAGCTGACAAAGGATCTAATAGTCGGATCTGGTGTGATCGCCGACTTGTACGAAATTGAACGACGTGGTGCAGCCTTTGGAAAATACTTTTTTGGCGTGTTTATAGGACCATTGACTGGTCCTATAATAGGTATATAAAAGTTTGGTATAAGGAAAAGAGATGATTGGCGTTAACGTGTGGTGGTTGCATATGGTAGGTGGTTTTCTTATTATGAGTCCCTTATCATGGCGAGCGACGTTTTGGTTTTGTGTTGCATTTGGGCTTACCGTTATTACCATGGTAATGGCAGCCTATCCCGAAACGTATCGTGAAGATGCAAAGTTTGATTTGGCAATCACAAACGAGAAGGAAGGAGCACAACAGCAGAAGCAACAACAGCGGCATAATGGTAATATGGATCCCGACGATGGTGCATCCACTGCCACCACCGGATCCAACACCGTGTCAGTGCATGCACCTGACAACCACGTAAAGGACGATAAATCAAAGGGTGCTACTACCATTGATATGAAAGCTTCACCATTAGCAAAAAAAGAGAAGCGAAAGCCGATAAATCCCATTCGACCTTTTCTTATGCTACGCCATCCTCATGTGCTATTGGTAGCCATTATACAAGGTGTAGCTTTTGGATGCATGTTTGCTGTCGAGACAATCATCCCAGACCTTTTTGAAACCAACTTTGGATTTTCGTCATGGCAAACAGGTAAAGTGTAATGGCAACAAGTGATGCATGGATGGGTAGTTTAAAAGATAATGGACACTGGGATTGGGTCTTCATTCTTTTCTCACGAGGTATACCTTCTATTGTGAAACGCAGGTTTGAGTTACCTTGGAGCTGGAGTCGGCAATCTTTCGGGCGCCATCGTTACCAACTTGCTATCAGATCGCTTATTGCTACGAGCCCGTGCCAAGCGAGATGGGCGACACAAGATTGAAGATAGGCTCACAATCAATCTATGGCCTTGTGGATTGATTTTAATGCCATTTGGAATACTTCTTTTTGGATGGGGCATTGGTAGCGGTATGACTTATTGGACAGGCATTGTTGGATTCGGCATTCAGGTACATATACGTTTCATTTATCATTTTGGCAACCTTCTATATACTAAGATCATTGAGCAGAATCTAGGGATGAATCAAGTCATGGCATCCACAAGCGCTTATCTCGTTGATGCTACGCCTGGTTACGGTGCTTCAGTTACTGCTGCAGCTACGCTTGTGCGTATGATACTTGCATGCGCTTTTACACTTGCAGCTAATCCCATGGTTGCTGCAATTGGTCCTGGTTGGACAAGTGTTTTCTTGGCAGGTCTCACGTATGCCTCCGTTATTGCTCTGCTAGTTCTCAAGGTGTTTGGTCATCGCATGCGTAAAGCTGCTGGATTTGAGCAACCAGCTGAACGTCAACAAGAACAAGACGCAGCTTGAAAATGAGCTCTATACCCCACATTACAACTCAATGTACTTTTTACTCATAGACACAAACACAACTTTGCATTAACAATGATCAAGATGCTTATAATAGTGAATGGAGCGTGATGTTTATCAATCTTTCAGCATTATATCGGTTGATGGTATCTAAATGTTGATAGGCTGGGGAGGAGGCTAATAGGCGTGTCAATGATGAGAGAGAGAGACAAGCTATGCAACAAATGCAGGGTAAGTATGTATGGGAGTGATGGCGAGGATAAAAACACATCATATCAGCCCTTCTTGTACTTGCAAATTGAACCAATCCACTGTTTCTTGCAATCCTTGACGCACTGAAAACTTTGGTTCCCATCCCAAAAACTTTTTTGCTCTTGTGATATCAGGCTTTCTTTTCTTGGGATCATCCATGGCTGCTGGTAAGATCTTGATTTGCACGTTATCCTGAGCTGCGGATGACTCGACAATTTGTTCTCGAATGATATCAGCAAAATCCTTGATGGTGTATTCATCTGGATTTCCAAGGTTGACAGGTTCCATGTAGTTTTTGTTCATCAACAGAATTAATCCATCCACGAGATCATGAATGTATTGGAATGACCGAGTCTGCTGCCCATCACCATATAGCGTCAGCGGCTCGCCTTTGATAGCTTGCATGATAAAATTGCTCACGACACGGCCATCTGCAGGTGACATACGTGGACCTGCATATCATGTCATTAGTATTCTTCTTTTTGCATTCATAGGTCACAATCAACTTACCAAATGTGCTGTATCCATGAAAGAGAGCCAAAAAATAGATTACGTTAGTTACATGTTGCTATGCAACGAGTGGATAACAGTGATACTTGCTTAAAGATCCGAGCAACGCGCACATCGACATCGTTTTGGCGCATGTAGGCGTACGTTAAAGTCTCAGCGATACGTTTTCCTTCATCATAGCATGCCCGTGGACCAATAGGATTGACGTGACCCCAATAGGTTTCTTTTTGAGGATGTTCTTCTGGATCACCATATACCTCTATTATCCAATGTCAGTGGCAGGGTCATTCAATCAATCAGGGGTAAAACAACAAACATGTACCTGATGTTGATGTGAGAAGGAATCGTGCTTTGGTACGTTTAGCAAGGCCAAGCATGTTGATAGTACCCATGACACTCGTCTTGACGGTCTTTGTAGGATTGTACTGATAGTGCGGAGGAGAAGCAGGACACGCCAAGTGGTAGATTTGGGAGACTTCAATCATGAAAGGGTCCACCACGTCATGTCGAACAAGCTCAAAGTGAGGATGGCCAATCCAGTGTTGAACGTTACGTTTGGTGCCTGTGAAAAAGTTGTCGAGCACAATGACCTCGTGGCCCATGAGCATCAGCCGGTCGACCAAGTGTGACCCAACAAAGCCTGCTCCCCCAGTAACCAGAATGCGTTTACGTTCAGAAGGTCGTAATCGTCGAACAGCAGGGTAAGCATGGGTGCTCTTATAAATGATGGTGTTGTCTTGGTCATTCAACTCTCGGTCGCTAATTGTACGTGGAAGGTAGAGTTCTCGGAGCGTGTCAAGGGCAACGTCGGAACCCACCGAGTTATGCCCAACGGTGGTGACAAGTTCTGGATGTTGTTGTTCTGGTGGTTGGTCAGTGCTCGTCATGTAGTAGAAGAAGTCTCAAATAGTGAATAAAGATATGGATGTATATAGCTGGTATATATATGTATAGATATGAAACTGAAAGAGAGCTGAGCAATAAACAACAACGGTGGCGATACACAATCAAATACGCAAAATGCATCAAACCCCCGAATCATAACACTCAAGTCCTGAAATGGAATGGTTCCAAGATAGAATGACATTGCTTTTATTATACACGATCTATTTCCCACATGGTAGTATGCTTACCTACCTTTATGCATCCCCTCGTTTACTTGTCAGGAGGTGATGTGATATGTAAGCATGTGCAAAGATCACGAGTTAGAATCAATGGGTATACTGTATCTTGGTCCGACAACCGTAATTGGTAGTATCATTGTGTACGTAGAGAGAACAAAGACCCACTACTACATATAATGAACATTGGCTGTTGCTTTTTAATGAGAAGCTTCCTCATGTCTAGATTTGGTCATGTGAGAAAACCATTGTTGCGATGTGAGATAATCGATCATTGATTCGGTCTACCGCGATACATTCGGCATGATTTCATAGCTTGATAAGGCCCAATTTAGGAAAGGGCTAAAGAATTCATTACCACCCACCAACCCAAGCATCCAGCAATCAAAGGTAAACATTGTTGTCTTAAAGATAGGACGCAGGTTTTCGATGATGCTACATAACCATTGATGGATAGATGGGAATTCGGACTATTCAAGGCGAGGTCGTGTATGGGTCAAATCTTGAGTTTATCCCTAAGCAAATATATCCCTGGACCTTTGGTACAGTAATTGGATGAGCAGTCCTCTTGTAAGATAAGTTGATAGGAACCTTACATCCATCATGATGGTTAATAGTATGTCAACAACCACGTCTTTCATAGCAGCATTTGAAAGGGTGATGCTTGGATCAAATCCAGTATCATGGTATACTCGTATGATACACCAAGATTTTATTTGCTCTATCGTGAAAGAGACACATGGATAGTAAAGGATATCCCTTTTAAGAAGGCTAATGTATGGGTGGATGATGGCTTGATGACGATGATGTGGAGTATCTAGCACCGCTGACTTGAAAGACCAGATTTGCCATTCGCGACTTCTTGGTCTCAACACTTTTCTTTTTGTCTCATAAATATCATGTCTGATCGCGTAAGTGAAGCCTTGTTTTATCTTTCATACACACGTATTTCTATCCTATCCCATTCTAACACGCAACATCTCATGTAGGGAGGTCGTGGTCATTACAGAGGTCGTGGTGGCGGTGGCCGTGGTGGTCGTGGAGGCGGTCGCAGTGGACATCAGCAAGACAAGCCCAAGAAAGAATCCATCCTCGATCTCAGCAAATACATGGAAAAGAAAGTGCGTGTACGCTTCAATGGCGGTCGTGAAGGTAATTGACAAGTGGTATTCGAAAGGAAACAATAGGTCAACAGTATACTCACCTTGTCTTCTTCATATAGTTGTCGGCAAGCTTATGGGCTATGATCCGTTATTAAACCTGGTGCTTGATGAGACCGTTGAATATCTCAAAGGTAAGCATGGAAGGAATATGTATATATGCATAGACACAGCATTTAATGGTATGTGTATATAGATTTGGAAACAGGATACATCACTGACAAGACGAGAACACTTGGCCTTGCCGTGCTACGAGGAACAGCTGTCATTTTGATATCACCTTTCGATGGTAGCGAAGAGATTGAGAACCCTTTCTTGGCTCAGTAAACAAGGCATACTTTTGTACATTTCGATTGTTTTCCAATTTGACAATAACATCATCAGCAAACGAAAAAGTGGATGCAATTGTGTTCAATATGAGATGGATTTACTTTGATAGTCAGCAAAGGGAGTACGTAGGGTATAGCAAAGGGGATAAAGATGCATTATGTGCTACAGCAAAGGAGAGGAGGATCATGGGTCGTTTTCATGCACAATCAGGGTGAATCATTGCTGCTAATTTCGACTTCCACGGTGGATGGTGCTGGTTGGGTTACAGCGGTGGTGGTGGATGTGTCTTCATTGGTATGAGCTGGTGCTCCAGTACTGGATGAGCTGCCTGAAGCGGTTGCTTGAGCTTGAGCTTGAAGCGAGGGCTGGGGTTGGTGTTGATGCTTAGGCCCCTCATCCCTATAGATCCTTGCAAGGCGTTCCTCCACCAAATAAAGCAACATGTCATCAATGAAATGACGAAGAGTACGGAATAAACCTATGATAACCAGAGATCCATCAGTAGGAGGAATAATGACAATGAAAAGTTGTTTACATACCTGCACTTGCAGCATGGCCAAGTGAGAGATCTTTTAAAATCAAGCTTGAATAAAAGTTCCACTTGTGAATGAATTCCTTGGCATGAAGTACAAAAGCGTTGGGATCTCTCGCCTATATCACCACACTTTCTTTTAGCTCATGGTCTCTTTAGCTTGTTGAACGATACATACCGATGCTTGTGGTGGGGTACTCATATATCTTTCCACGATTCCTTGTATCCACATAATCCAATCATGAAGACCCGCTTCCGAGTAAAGCAAACGCTTGATGCCGTTTTGGACTAGAGATATTATAGGATGAATTTCATATCCTTCCATCCCTCCCATAAAGTACTTACATATATCCTGAATCTCTTGATGATTGCAATTACACACCCAAGTAGCTTGCTCCATGATCGACTCAAAGTCCACAGCATCCCAGTCGCGTCTCATTGACTCAAAGTTGTTCGGATGCTGAAGCACGGCAAGCGTTGTTTGAGCCATTTGACTGAGCTTGAGATGTCGCTTGAATTTTGATTGGAAGATTTGGGCCACTACAACACAAGATAGATGCATTAGAAGGATCCATTGTAGATTCATCATGCAAGATACTCACCACTCGCCTTCTTTTGATAAAGCTCATCTGGATAGCTAACATCCACAGCATACCGGATGTATTGCTGTAGCTGACGAGTGTAGTTTCGCAATTGCTTGAGGGCACCAAAAGTAATAGGCGTGTATATGTTTGGCAGAAGGTGGACCATAATAGCCTAAAATTTTCGTTAGATCGAACTCTGATGCCAACATGCCATTGTAAACTTACATCATAGAGGGAGCAATCCCAACGCCAGATATCGTCAATCGCTTGAGGATGATCATCAATCAAATTGCGAAAGCGATCAGGCAACATTTGGTAAAAGGACACCATGGATGTATAAACCTATCAATTTCATCCACATGTTAGCATCATCGGCCCTCTTGTTTGAATGCCTCTTTGTATACTTGCATTGTTGATTTGGTTGGAGTGGATAAATGCTAGAATGTCTCGGCAATGCTGCTCGTACACACGTGAAAACTCGATGGCAGTCTGATTATTTTGCAATGAGGGCGTATGGATGGCGAATTCTGGTAATTGGAATAGAGGCGTGGATGATGATGTACCACTGCTGGGTCCACTTTCGCCATGCATTGCTTGTTGTTGGGGAGAAGATGGAACTTGAAAAGATGATGAATATTGCTGGGCGTGATGATAACGGTCATACGACATGATGGAAAGCGCGTCATCGTTGCGGTCATCTGCTGATGTCAATGGGGCATTCATTCTGCCATATGCAGGATTCGAGGAACTCGCCATGCTATTCATATATCATTAGTCAGAGGGTATTTCATCAATGTCCATTGACTCACTCAGAAGCTGCGGTGTTGCCAGCATGTGATCGTGTGATGATATTGGGGGTGACGCCTGATGGATGATGGGGAGGAGGAGGTGGTGGGATTTGGCCACTGATATCGTGGGAAGATGATGATGGAAGTGATTGCAAAGAGAAAGAGGCTGGTGATGGTGGAGGACCCATACGACGACGAATACCACAATAGTGATACTTTGATTCACCACGAGTACCAAGGCGACGCGTTGTGATACCAGGGAACACATGGCGGATAAGCTTGCCGAATGTAGCCGAGTTGACAGGTTGTTGATGGCACCTAACACATGCAGCTTTGTAGTCCTCGTACATTCCACTTCGTGGGACATTGTGGTTTGGCTCATATTGATAGTTGGCTTGAACCCTAGTGTGTGTATTGCATCACATGGCGTATTAGTGAGATCATCATAAACCATCATATCACAATAGCATCACTATCCCAACAATGCAACGTACCAGTTAAGCACAAAACGGCTATCAGCATCATCCTCAGTTGCTGCACGTCGTGACAAACGTGGAAGAGTTGTAGTAGTAAGCGCTGGAGATACTACACGCTCACTTGGTGTCATGAGTGATGGCTGCTGCGGAATCGCCATGGTGTTGTTGTTACTTGGCGGTCCAGTTGTAGCTGAACGGTTCCTTTGCGATCGTCGCGGTGTCATGGCTACATTGTACGGAGAAACAGCATGGTAAATGTTGTCATGGTCTTCATTGCGATGGAGATGCAAAATAAGTGAAAGAGCCCTGATTTGGCACGAGCCTTCGGGGCAAGTAGTACAAATCTTGCATGAAACACATACCCGCTGTTGCTGCTGCCATACTGGCCATCGAGGCCGCTCGACGAGGTCTTTGCTTGGTACGTGCCATTGGATGTTGTTTATATCACTGAGTGATGAACAATCCAGGAAAGAGGTGAAAAACCAAGGAAGCTGGCAGTGATTGATTGATTTAAGAAAAATGAAAACGGGCACGGGACAGGTTTACACTGTATCCATTGTCTCAGCTTTGATGATTGGTGGATTAAAACAGCACTTGGCACTGACCAAACAAAGAACAAGTGATGCATGAATGAGCATGGTATACGTGCATCGATTTTTGGGTCCATCAATCCTAAAGGTGGTACCAACACAAGGAGGCATGATAAATCGAGGTCTAGAACACAATAAGATGTTGCCAACGTTGTCATGAATGGAGGACAATGACAACAGGCGCCATGGAAGTTAGCATTTAGTCGTCATGTTGATTGTCGCCGTGTCTTACGAAGAGATGTCCTCTTTGTTGTTGAAGAAGTAGAAAATGATTGGGCTATGGTTCCTCGAGCATCATAGAATTAGAAGCAAAATTGATCACATCCCATCTATGTAGAACTACTTCAACGCACCCAATAAATCCATGATCGTACCTTGATGAAGATCCTCATTGTCACTTTTTTTTTGTTTGATCATGCATGCAATCCTTTTGGGTGGCTCAAATCAGCTTCCTTCGATACAATCAAACACCGCGATCTCAGTAACTGACTTGGACCAAACATGGTAACGAATTTTGTCATGGCGCTGTAGCTGCACGCTGTTTGCATATGGGGAAATGCAAGGGTCAACAAACAAGGGAAGATGCCTACGCCAATGGATAAATGTCACAAACACGATTTATGCAGAAAGAGCGATGAGCGGGATCGGAGAAATGAGAACATGACGATTAGACCCGCATAGAAACAATTGTCCTCTTCTCTTTTCTCTTCGATAACTAGCCCCATAATTGCACGACCATAGACACCAAAAACTAATTTATTCACAATGATATGGGACTTGATAACAGCTTCTATACAGGTATAGGGTGCTGAATTGAATGGTGACTTTGGAGGAGGAAACATTATCATGTTACTGATGCATCAACAACCATTGTTTTCGTTGTACAGGCCATTCTGCAAGTGATGGTGATTGTCTCTTTTGGGTTTGTACTTACAAAGATGGGGTATTTCACAATGGAGAAACAAAAGGTATATGCGAATCACTTTTTTCGACTGCAAGAAGAGTGCCATTCATGTGTTATTGGGTATAACAATAGTGGTTGTCAAGATTAAACATGGTGTTCTTCACCCCTTGTCTACTCTTTTCAAACATTTCATCGGTCATCTCCCTCGAAAAGTTGCTCGCCTATTGGCCTATACCTGTATTTTACGTCTGCTTTGCGCTTGTATCCTTTACGTTTGTCCATGTCGTATGTCGTTTAGTGCGACTCAATGCAGAATTTCGAGGCTTTGTGACGGCATGTGTCATGTTCTCAAATACCAACTCGCTCCCTATTGCTGTTATTACAAGCTTGGCTGTTTCCGAAGCGGGCAAGGTACTTTATTGGGACGCTGATGATACACAAGAGGCAGTGGCCGCTAGGTAATGATAACAGACAATGGCAAAAGCTGAATGCAACAATGACTCAATAACGTATCTTCAAGGGGAATTTCATATACCTTGTTTTATGCAATCTTTGGAAACCTTTTACGATGGTCATATGGATATCGGCTATTGCAAATCCCCATCAAGGATGACGAGGAAGAAGAATTTGATTATGGAACAATGACCAGTGACTATGGCACATCTTCTGGATCAGGCTCTATCATGTCATCGTCACGACCTCATAGTCCAATTTTGTTCAGTGGTAGGAGCAGTAAATATGGTGGCGATGCGAGTCGTACCACAAGTGTGAATGAAACAAGTGGGTTGTTGTCATCGTTTCCAGCTCTTCCAAGCGATGCTGCTGACGATCAGCTTCAACAAGATGATCAATTAAGCATGAAAACGCACGTCAAGCGCAAGATGGCAACATGGGCACGTTCAATTCATCAATTCATGACCCCACCCTTGTATGCAGCTTTCCTTGCTATTGCTGTGGGTTTGATACCTCCTTTGAAACAGCTCATGTATGATACTTTTGTACATGCATCTGTTACCTTGGCTATCCAATCTTGTGGCAAGGCTGCTGTACCCATTATTCTCGTGTGTCTCGGTGCTCAACTTACGGACATTTTAGAAAAAGAAATGCAACAGCAAGAGACGCATTACAACCGAAAAGCGGTTGCAACAGCTATAAGCATCCGCATGATACTTGCACCTTTGGTGGTGATTCCCATTGTATTGGCATTTGTAAGATATGGCTCTGCATACGCTGGTGTGGCGGCAGATCCAGTCTTTAGCGTCATGATGATTATTGTCGGTTGTACACCCACAGCTATCAACCTCGTTCAAATATCACAAGTAACAGGAGCTTTCGAGGATGAAATGCTGCATTTGCTGTTTTGGAGCTATGGTGTCGTGTGTGTGCCAGTATTCACACTCGTCGTCTTTGCAGCACTCAACATTGTCGATACTTTTCTCTAACAACAATGAACCCCAATGTCTTTGTTCATACCCCTTCCTTTCATTGTATCTGGTCGTTTGATAGATCATATATTTGTACAACTTAGATAGGATGTAGATAAGAATACTTGGTATCATGGAAAACTAAAAGTAGGATATGTATCTAAACGAATGTCTGGAAATCAGGTTCGCCTTGAGAGGGACCAACAACTTTGAGTCGCACGATGCTGTTGGCAGGTATCGAAGCTATCTCGCCATCCAAACAAATATCGGTAGCATCTCGCACCTTGAGTGTCAATTCCTTCGCTTTGTAATACTCCACGTATTCCTCCTCATCCACATGTTTTCCTCCTTGGATCGCTTTGATAGTAGCTGATTGCAACTGCTCTTTGCTGGCATCACGCATCAAAATGATATCCATATCTTCGGTTGCTGGTGACGCAAATGGTGTGATAGTAAATCCTCTCTCAAGAGAAGCTTGTTTGGTGACTGCAAAGTAGGTGAACTTCTCGTCGTTGACCACGATCTCTTCTTGGATATCATCGAACTTCTTGGTCTCTTTGTTGTATCGTTGAACCTGGCTCATTGTCAATTCACCAGCGTAGTGTTGTAAAAAGTACAAGAGCCACATGGCAACCCAGCTGAAGCGACGATTATCGACAAATGGCTTGAGATAACGCGCCTTGCTCACCAATTGTGCATGAAATCCCCAACTCATCACCACCATGATACGTAGTTTGCGTTTCTGCTCGATTGGTAACTCCACATCCACAAGTCGTAATGGCTGAGTATTCTGCTTAATAATGCGTAATGTAGCGTGTTCAATGCTTTGTAACTGAAGGCTGAGTGATAAGGCGTTGCCGGATCCGGAAGGAATAATGCCGAGCTTGAACGTGGGTAAAGATGGCCAATTTGCTCGACGATCGTATGCATCCGATAAACCATTCACCACTTCATGTACTGTACCATCTCCACCCAGTATAATAAAGGTCGTGTTGGCATTCTCGCTTATCATCTTGACGCCCAATTGCTCAACCAGTATCCTCGTTTGCTCATTGGGTTTGGTCTCTGTCACACTCATGGCATCCGTATCATAGCCTGCTGCCACCAGCATAGGTTTTACGATATCATTCCATTGCGATAAAGCTTGTCGGCTACCTGCTGCAGGATTGATAATGGCAACCACACGTTGAGTTGGCTGAACATCGGGTAAAACACGTTGCCGAAGCCGAGTGGCGAATTCAGGTGTTGATAGCTTATCGAATACAAGCGTCCTTTGCTTCCAAGTCGTCTTGCCAATATCTCGAAAGTTGGTAATGCTAGTGGATTGCTGGCCACCATTCTCGTTTTGTTCTTGCTCACATTCGACAATGGCGATCTCCAGCTGCTTATCCTTCGTCTCTTTGACACCATAAATCAAGTCCAATTCAAGAGTGGTTGTTGTCGTCGTCCCATTGCTGCCATTGTCGCTGCTTATCAAGAGGTGTTGATCGTTGACAGTGAGGGTCACTTTGACGTCCTTCTGGATATCCGTAGCAAGAGTGGTGAGTGACATAGTGGTAGTGTAAAAGATAAAGAAGAAGTGATCCTTTTCCTTTCTCAGCAGGCACCGTGCACATGTATGCGGAGATTGTCCCATCACCTATGCAGTTCGCGTCATTGTTCCCAAAGAGCACCTCCCCCACCCCATTTTCGATCCAATACTAAAGCGGTTTTTTGTTACACTCGACATGGTGATAGTCATTTTATAGCGGATGAATGGATGGTTCAAATGGAGATACTAAGTGGTAACGGCTTTACGGTAGAGATAGAGAGGAGAGGGGGTGGTGTTTGTTAAAGAGGAATATAAGGTACATCTGTAAAAAAGAAAGGGGGATCATATAACACAAAAAATTACATGTAATAAAGAAAAGTAGTATACACGTATACAGAAATTAACCAAGCATACCGGCAATGCATGCTGAGATCCAAGTAGAGATGGCACCACAAAGCATGGATGATACAGCCAACTTTGATAATTCGGCAGCACGACCAGGAGCAATGACTGTAAGACAACCGATTTGGTTACCAATACTGGAAAGGTTGGCAAAACCACAAAGAGCGTAGGTAGCAACAAGCTGTGATCGTGGGGTCAAGATATCCTTGTAAGTGGTTGTCATTTCCTTATAGGCGACAAATTCGTTTGCCCAGATCTTGAGAGCCATGAGACGACCCACGTCGACAAGGTTTTGGTTATCGGCACCAATCATCCATGCAATCTTATATCAAAATAGGAATCATTGGTTAGGTCTCATATGTGAAACAGATCAACATCCAAAGTATACGTACGGGAACAAAGACATAACCAGTAATGAGCTGCAAGGTCAATTCTTGGATGGTCAAAAAGTTACCAGCCCAAGTGAGGAAAGCATTGACAGCGTACAAAAGCGAGAGAAGAGCAATCAAATTGGCAGCAATGCAAAGCACAATGGTCATACCCAAGTTGGCACCATTACCAGCAGCATGCAATAAGTTGGCTGGCTTTTCATTGGGATCGACAGGTGGGAGACGCACCTTGCCGCCAGTCAATGGTTCTTCGGTCTCAGGAACACGGAGCTTGGAAACAGCCAAAGAGCATGGAATGGACATGATACAAGATGTCAAGAGGGCTTCACCCTTAACACCCATGGCCATGTAGCCAAACAACACAGAGCCAGAAATGGTAGCAAAACCAGAGGTCATGACTTGATGCAATTCGGCTTGGGTCATGTAGGGAAGGTAAGGCTTGACAAGCAAAGCGTTTTCACCTTGACCGATAAATGGCTGACACAAAGTGTTAATTTGGTTTCAGCGAAAAGTTTGATCCCATTCACTCACCGATGCAACAGCTACAATAGCCTCGGCACCTGAGACTTGAAGAAGATGAACAAAGATGACGGCAAAGCGAGTCAACATCCATTGCAAAGCACCAATGTAGTATAAGATTTGAACAGTGGAGGCAAAGAAAATAATGGCAGGGAACACCGTAACGGCGAAAACACCTGCGTTGGCAACATCATCGTTCGTTAAGAATTGGATACCATACCAGGCCTTGCCAAGATAGCCTTGTGCAAAAGTTGACAACCAACTAAAGATGTCTTGGCCAACCGAAGTACGAAAGACAAACAATGCAAGCAAGAATTGGAGCAATAAGGAGGACCATACGGTGGACCAATTGATTGATCTACGATGCTTTTACGAAAATGTCAGTTGACAAAAATTTGACACATTCAAAACACCACGTGAGGGTACGTGATGTTGTGTGATGCCACTTACTCTGGATGTAATGTACAACCCTGAGATAAAGATGACCATGCCAACCAGGGCGATAAGTCGTTGTACACGGGTTGAATCGGCTTCGATCGAGAAAATGGTGACGATGATAACGACGGCATCCAAAAAGCCAAAACCAACCATACGCCATCGTCGAGGAATTCGGTATACTGGTTTGGATACAACATCCCAAGTTGCCCACATTGGCGTCGTGATCCATGAGAATGGGATATATTTGAACAGCATGTTCAAGCAAAAGAATGCATAGATCAAGCCAAGGATTAGTTGTTCTTGATCGTATCCTTTTGGGACCTGGAGAGCGTATGCCGCGGCAAGATAGCCCGTAAAGATAAGGAACATTGCCAAGCTACGGAGATTAGAGAAAATTGTTAATTCGATATTGCACGCATGACATCGACTCAAGATAAGAGAAAGAAGGCTCGCTTCATCAACGAGGCAACGTACTGGAATAATGGCCTGAACCTGGAATAAAGCTTTCCAAACCAGCCCTGCTTCTTTTCATCATCTCCATTTTGCTCTTCAAGCTGCTGCTTTTGCTCTTCGGTGCTGTGTAAATCAAACTCTGCAGTGGCTTTGGCGTCCCGCGCCTCAACATCATCGACACTGAAAGTCTCCTTCTCTCTAACAGAGGGAGGATTTGAAATTGTTGTTTTTTCTTCCGAGCTCATGAAATAAAAAAGGATGCCGTGTGAAAATCAAAAATGACGGAGCAAAAGAAAAAGAAAGCGGGAAGAATCGAGAGCGGGAGGGCAAAGAAAAAGGTATCAGACGGGAAAGAAAAACGATGCAAGTGGAGCAAAATTTCGGAGTGGAAGGACATGGGACGGACCCTTTTATACTGTTTCCCTGCCCACTTCCCAAACCAAATTTGATAAGCCTTGGTGACAAGATGTGTTGTGCAAGTAGACAGTATCTTTGATAGATTCTACATGCTCACATGAACAAAAACGTAAACAGTGCAATTGCCCTTCTTGGTAACATTACCCAAGTAGGGCTATGATCTCTCATTGGATGGATGCAGATGTTTTTTTTCGACACTCTTGGTATTCTTATACCGCACTTCAGGAACAACACGCTCGTACGTCTTGACATTTGTTATGACTTCCGCAATGTATCATGGAAATAAAAGATTTCATAGAAGGGTGTCGGCTTTCATTACATACAACTTTTGAATTTTTCCTTTCTTTGATCCCTGCTCATCCATCCGAGACTAAGGCATCTCCTGAGCGGTTGTTTAATATCACGGAAAACGGTTCTTTCCTTGTCTTCTTGTTCATGTCTACCAGCACCAATGAAAAAGGCAATCATTTGGATACACGTTATTACTGTGGCAACAGCCTAATCTCGGCGGATGGGACGCCGAAATCGGCACAAATCGGTGAACCCCGATCCATTAGTCAATTGTTTGTTATCCCTGCTGTATTTCTTTTGTGATGAAACTAATCATAAACATTGCTGTCAATTATAAGCTTGCATGCATCCATCACCCAAAACCACCCCCTAATTCGGCCATTGTCGTCAACCCCTTGCTTGGTGGCTTTTGCTATACTATTTTACGGGCTATCGTTGTACATAGTGGCTATGGATCGGGGTTTTGTCAATGAACCATGACAAAAAAGTGTGCTGATTTCACACATTAGCCTTTTTTCACGGGCTGGGAGAATGTGGAACAAGAACACGCGTGGTATGACTTGGGTGTACTGGTCGAGGGCGGGGTTCATTAAAGCGTACATACCCCACATTGTTGGTTACTTGGGAAACGCAACCACTCAATGTTGGGAATGTGGGGATTTTTTTGGGTCCATGCCTGAGAAAATTGATAGCAAAGGTAAATGGATGGATCGTGGCTGTGGCGATAGAGGGTATAAAGCGTATCACGATTCCGCTGGTTTCCAAGGAAGAGAGAAAGGAGATATGAATTGATCTTTTTCGATTTCAACGGTGACACTAAACGTTGCGTTGATGCATGCTGCTTGTGCAGGGATTCCTTTTAGACGTTTGAGCTCACAAATAGAGAGGTATCCTCATGACTGGATCAACTTGGTCCATGCATTTGAATGGATCCATGTTTTGACCTGATTTGAAAAGCCATACAACGATGGCGGTACTTTGTGTGTTGAACATGTGTAACCCTCGCTCCGTGACTCTAGGTCATTTTTCACACGGATGTCTCCAATCGAGAAATACATACCCTTATTTGCTAAGGCTTGATTGCGATCCAATATAGACGCTATGATACCCCACTTTCCCCGCATCCCCGCTTTATTCCATCACATACAGTCACCCATAATACACTTCTTCCAATGTCGGTGTTCATACATCAACAATGTATCTTTATTTTCAAATCACTCCATCATGTATTGTTGGGGACCCGGATCACTTTTTCCAAATCCAAATGAGAATGTCAGGCTATCTTGCCTTGCAAGTATTCGAATTTGTGTCCCATTGTTGTCTCACTCTTCCTTATTCGCCGTACACAGATCAAAATATGGGAGGCAGTACAAGAAAAAGTGACACTGGTCACTGATGGCACCATTGTGTGGATACAGCCGCCATCCCTGAAGACCCTAATTTCACACCGCTGATAGCACCATTGTGTGGATACAACCACTATCCCCGGTAACCTAATTTCACCCCGCTTTTTGGGCATTCATGTGCTGCTCTTTGTTCGCCATAAACGACTAATTTTTTACTAGCCCTCATCTACATTGACTTTGATGCTCAAACGAAGTACACATCTTTGCCACAACTTGTGTCTAGGTGATATCGGTGACTTACGTTATTATATCTTGCATTGGATGAAGCAAACAAAAAAAATGAACATTGGACAACTCAAAGTACCTATGAGCAGTATACCATCGGTTTGAAGATATAGAGTACAGCCGAGCAATGATAAGATGATAACCAATGTTATTATACAATGATAAGAAGATAGCATATGCTATGGTGGAAAGATAAGAAGGTAACATGCTATAGTGCAATGATCCATCACAGGGTCACACGTTGCTATTCTAGATGTTATTGCGAGAAACAATGAATATATAAGACACGGTCACATGATTTGTCTATGTTGATTTCTTTGTCAAATCCAGGTGGGCCATTGTCTATTTTCTTTATCCAAATGCAAGTGACCATTGCCATGGAAACCTTGTACATAGGGATACGAACATCATGTGATTTGTGCCTTGGCAACTGACGTCGGACTTTTTTGTAGAGCTGCTGTGGTTGACCAAAAGGTCGCGTGCACCTTTGCATGATTGTTTTTCCTTCTCTGTTGCAGTGTTATGGAAGGTTTACAGCGACGTTTCAAGTCGACGACCGAGCCAAATCCCGAAGATGAAAACGAGTTTCTCGATGAGCAACGTATGTGACATGTGTCTGCTTGGTCTTACGATGGCAATCTGACGCTTCTTTTTATGTTTTATGCAGAGCAAGAAGAGCTCATCAGCGAACTACGTACCAAGAATGATCAGTCCAATTTAGCGATTCAGGTAAAGGTTGAATAGGGTTGGGATAAGAAACGATGGCACTGATAGTAGTAAATGGATAGCGTGGTATCATCTTGGTTGGGGTTCTCGTTTCATCCATGTAAGGGTTTATCAGGGACATACTGATGCAGCTATTGCCGCTTAACTCATTGCCACCACCACCGTGGTATTAGTTATACTATCTTTTTGTATGATACCATGTTCCCCTCGACATTTCTTTCGGTGCCACACATTCCCAACCCCTTCAATGCTATTCCAGCTGTAACACCAGCACCCGAGGTATCCGCTACAACAAGCATTCTATCGCTCTTTGGTTCCGTTTTCACATTCGCTCGAGGATGCCGTCTTACTGCAATGCAAATCATTTGGTCACCACCTCCTCCCAACCGAGGTTTCAACAAGATCAATATACTGACAGCAGCACCTGCAGCATGCTTAGGATTGATTGCACCAGCTATTGCATTGTATGGTGGCGTGCCATGGCTTGAATTTGGTTTTTGGTCGATTCCATTCTTGGTGCTGGGTATGATGGCATTCGCTATTCACATGATGATTCAAGTGGAAAACAACATTGATGACCTTGACAAAGCACGATACAAGTACAAAGGAGCTTAATGAAATAAAAGATCTTTTTTTTACTTGTGCATGTATATATACACACACACATTGGTATTAGAGAAAAGGGAAAATCTATTATACACACATGTATTCTTCTAAACGAGACCAAATCCTTTGGCATTTTCTATTGCTGTGATTAAGCGTTCACGCAACTTCTCCCTCGAGTCATATTCTGGAAGCAATAGCCGACTAAAACAGGTCAACGCCGTTGGTAACCTACATTAAAGGCAATATGAGTACGTGGATAGGATACGATCGTAAAGAAGTAATAAAAGTTACCTATCGCTATCTGGCCCATTGCGTTGCACCACAAATGTCAATTCCTTCAATCCACCCACGGGTACTCGATCACTTGCAGTGACAAAAAACAACAACTTGCGCCGTTGTTCGGAAGTCATATCATTGTGTACAATTGACCAAAACCAGCTATCATATTTTCATTAGTCAACCATTCCTTTTTGTGTTGTGTTTTTATGCTAGCTTACCGAATCACTAGGTGATCTGGATTATATCCATCATCGTAATCAGCAACGTCTTGTAGCTCTTTTAGATCGAGGTCCATGCCTTGTCGTTCACCACATGCTACCACCTCGAGAACACCAGCTGTACAGAGATCCATGGCTGATCCACCAATGACACTCCAAACACCACGTCGGATAGCAAGAAGTTGGCTGCGTTGGGCATGATACAGGAAATATGTACAATAATCACGCACAAATGCCTCACGGTTTTCATTGGTCACGGGAACTTGGTTTCCATTTTCCATCAAAGGTATGGTGACAACACCTTGGCCGAATACTTCAATTGAAATTTCATAGTTGCGGCAAAACACATCTTGCACTTGGTCCTCCCAATCAAGCAGCTGCTGAAGGCCATTAGCCAACGATGGCCATCCCTCCATAAGGTCGTTCAATGTAAACAGCTGATGCTCTTCAGCCATTGTATCTAAGGTTGCTTCACTTGGCTGTACGAGGACCTTCCACAGGATACTTGGAAACTGCAAGTTCATGATGACACCATTGTAGATAGCCAAACCCATCATCACGCCCACCATTTCATAGAGCCGTAAATCATCCTCTTGTACGGGTATGGGCTGAATCCAACATAATCGAGTCTCCGGATCCACATTAAAAAGACCCATCTTTTTGGATGTGAGCTTTTCAAATAGGATACCAAAGAATTCTTTTTGGACACCTCCTTGATCCATGCCTTCTTCGCCTCCTCCGATAAATCGCACTTTGAGCGGCTTCTTGAGATCGACCCACTTGGCGGATACTTGGTGTAAGGCATCAGTGACAAAATGTTGTCGTCGGATTTCCAAAAGTAGATAGGGACAAGTCGCACTCTTAAGATTGTCTTCCAAATGACGTACCATCCCAGGTGCATCCGAGAGCAATCGCCGTGCATGAACGACGAGGGTGTGATTGACGCATGCATCTTCATACTCTGCTGACATTTGAGACATGGCATCCAATTGCAGGATCTTTCGCTTCACCGAGGGTGGTAATAAGAAAGGATAGCTGAACCATGAAAATTGGTATTCGTTCGCAAAAGGGTATGGCAATAATATCGAAGTCCAGGTTGTTGTTAAAAAGAGTCGTGTTCGTCGTTGTTGTTCATTGAGACCATAGTACTGAGACGCCGACGGTCGTGAAGCTGCAGCAATCGTCGATATAGAATGCCTTCCTTCACCATACTGCAAAACACGTTTCCAAATCCTGTACTCGTCCTTGATGTTGAGCTTCTTGCAAATGGCTTCACTGCAAAAATCGCTAACGGGTATAATGGGTGCTGCTGATACATTGGCTTCATCTATAGTACAATGGTGGTGTAAATTTCTCGATCACGTGATGCGTAAAGTAAAATCTTACATGCAAGCTGGAGAAACTTGGTCGCCATAATCACCGAATCTTGCTCACCATGTTTGTAGGGTCCAGTGTGGAAGTGATCAATAAGATACCCGTGAAGATACTGCACCAGAGCTTCCATTCGTTCATTATCCAGGCTACTCAAACAAGGTTAGTGATCAATGAGCGGATCACTTTGAATGATGTACTCACCAAGCAAACATATGTAAAAGTGCTTTCCTAATCAAAGATTGTTGAATGGAGGCGATCTTGCTAACCACTTGGATGAGCTTGTGTGATAATATATCGGACCACATATTGGTGCTATCGGTTGCAAAATCGGATGACTGCCATAACCGGATCCATTCAAGGATAGACATGAGTGCACGACACCATTGGACAATTGTATCAACGCATGATGCCTCTATTTCATCGATCGAGTACAAGGTGGTGATATTTTCGGTGTTCATGTGCATTCGATCCAACAACGTTTCAAAGCTCTCGGTAACTGCGTTTGCTAATCTGGATGGCTGAACATCGTCGTTTCCAATAATCGCCTCATAAAACTGATGCAAATCATGCAAATTGGTAATACGGATCGTTCGTTGTAAAGCTGATACAGGTTGTGGCGTGGCAAGAAGCATGCTATTGCCAATCCCCTCCCAATTTTGAAAGATTGATCGACACCAATGCACCGTTTTCTCCATGTTGTATTTATCCACAAATCGATGCAGCTGCTCGAGTGCTGATGGCATTGTTATAGCGGTGGGTCGAATAGCTAACAACATTCCTTCATCGCTCGTATCAGATTCGTAGCTATCGGATGCTCGAGAATGATCGCTGGAATCAAGTTGATAATAATAGCTGGAGTCGTCATCTTCGATACATGATGGGTGATGTTGATTCATGTTGTTGTTGTAGTTCCCAGATAGACTTTGTAATCCTCCACGCCATGATCCCACATTGCTGCTATCAGACGATCGACGTCCTCTAGAAAATTCTATTTTTGCCATACTCATTAGATTGCCATTTATCGTTATCCAAAATCCCAATACTTTACCTTGTGTTGAAGATGATGCTGATGATGATGGGGTCCTTTTGGGTTTCCTCCTTCTATTCTTTGAGCTGACATCTTTTTGTTCACGTTGTAGACCAAAAAGGGAAAGAAATGCCGAAGATGAAAATAATGACTGTAGGAAAGGTTTGCTCTTGTGTTCACCGAAATCATCACTTTCATCATCATCCTCATCATCTGCCAATGCCTTCTGAATCACCGATGAGGTCGAATTGGATGGTGCTCGCATCTCGTTGGTACAAAAGCGATCTTCAGGTCTAGATGCCAATTGGATCGACATGACAAGGGCTGCTTGTGTGTGCAAGTTGCGTATGCCACCTAAGTCGTTTTTGAGTGTCAATTGAATGAAAAAAGAAACGTATCTACAATAAAACCATACCACGACCCGAAGCGCAAAACCGATTGATACAATCAGATCGTCCACATCCAACAGTGAGTTGTTGAAAGTATTGCTCTATTCTCGCTTCATAATCACTCTTGGCCTCTTTGAGTTGACGTTTGCGTTGCGACTTGTCCATTGAACGACGTGTAGACTTGGGTTGATCCAGTGAATGGGAGGCAAACAATGTGGGTGTGGATGGTGGTGGCAGCCGGGATGTCGGTTGTTGTTGCCGGGCATGGTAAGGGTAATGACGATTACTGCTGCATTGGTTCACTGTTGAGCCGAGTTTGGGATCAGGTTTTGATATCTTTGTTGTGGTGGAAGGGTTGCTGATGCGTAAATTGGAAGATCGACGTCTTGGTGGTGGTGGAGACTGTTCTGAATCGAGACATGGATCCGAAGGTTTGTCGGTAGGAGAACGTAGTGAAGAAGGGTCCTCGTTTAGATCATTGTTATCATGTTCTTTTTGTCGTGATAGTTGAGAAGAGTTGCCTTTGTCAATGATAGATGGCATATAACAAGAATAAAGTGAAGATAAAAGAGAGAGAGAAAGAGAGAGTAATGAATGAGAATCGCACTACGGCGACGCTGAACATTAAAGCTCACCCCGCATTTGGCATCTGATACACAAGGCGCATGGCGAATCAAAATCTTGGCTGCTGTGCCTGATGACTCTTGTTACCTATTTACATACATCACATGACCTATTACTACAAGATCAACAAGCAAATAAACTTGGCATTCATTCATGATTGTTGCTATTTAGTGGCAATGAGTCATCCATCAAAGTATAATAGCGTGTCTTTATTGAAGGAATAGTATTCTATTATGTACCAAGAAGTTGCATCCACATGTGTGCACAGGCTCCTGAATAATCAAGCAAGCGTCGCATGCTTATGCAGCTGAGAGAGAGAGAGAGAGCTACAGCGAGAGATAAATCTTGGATAGTCCACACCACACGTCAACAACCCCTTCCTCTTCCATTCCGACACCGACCATCATGATACATAAACGCAAAGGCAACACGTCAGATACCAAAAGCGAACCAGCCAACACAGCAGAACCCACAAAACCATCGCCTAAAAGCTCACAGCAATCAGTTATCAGTAGTCTATTCGCAGCAGTATTTTGGGCTATCGTTCTCTTCTTTGGTGCCTCCTACCTCATTACTGAATCTTGGACTTGGGGATATCGTGGCAAATGGACCAACATCCATACCTATTGGCCTGTAAGAAAGATTACCTTCTCCATTGACTTGCTTACTCACGCTTGAATGGTAGAGAGAACAACTTGTATTCACCGAGCAAGAATTGCGTAAATACGATGGAAGCAATCCGAACCTTCCAATCTACCTTGCCATTGAGTATGTATATGCTAGTTAGTATTGGTTATGGGGTGTATTCTAATGGGGGTATCTATGGTATAGTGGCGATGTTTATGATGTGACGGAAGGCCGAGGATGGTATAGTCATGTAAGTTCATTGTATGGATAAATGAGATGGGACCAAGGGATTGATTGGGTATATATGATAGGGAGCCAGTTATGGCCACTTTGCAGGACGCGATGCAGCACGAGCCTATGTGACAGGATGCTTTAAAGATCACTTGACGCATGATTTACGTGGATTGAGCGAGGCACAAATCAAGGTAAGATCAGCATTTTATACGTGCACAAGTGAATGTATGGGAAGGACAAGACTAACGGTAATTGGGAACTTAGGGTGTCGAGCATTGGAAGAAGTTTTATGCAAATCATCATACGTATTATAAGGTTGGACGCGTATTACACGACCCTATTGATCCCAATACGCCAATACCCCCACCTTGCAAGAAGAGTGTGCCTCAAAAGCCATCATCGGGTCAATAAACCTTATTTTCTTCTCAATCATCTTGAATGACACTACTAGGATAACTTGTTTAAATGACAATGGATATGTAATTGGCCCTTATCTATTATTCGCAGCTATGTTGATTCCAGGTTGCATGTAGAGAAAGAGAACGAGGGAGGGACAATAATAATTGCTTGTTGCTAGCATGTTGCATGCATGCATGATCATCATCCTCCACCCCCAAAATATCCTTTGTGCTTCTGCTTTTCCGATGCTCCGTTTGCATGTTGTACCCCGCCATTCCCTTGCTGTACACAAAACTTTCCTGTCAACGCCCAACCCGCAATGATAGATCTTGTTCCAACATTGCTCCCTTACCATGTCCGGTCCCATTCAAGACTTGTATGCATCGCCATGTACTTCTCCTGAAGGTACCCTTGTCGCCTCTAAAAGCTCTTCTTCCACCATCAACGACAAGACCGCTATCCAGCTATTGACCAAGTTGGACGAGGTAGGTACCTCTTCTTCTACCACACAACCCCCACCTCCTCCTCCTCCTTTGGATACACGCGTTTCTCACTCTTGTCTAATATCCAGGGATTGGAAACATTATCCAACTTACGCTCCATCCTGACGCTAAAGACTGCAGAGTTGAATGAACTTGTTGCCCAACTTGAACTCACCAACCAAGCTATCATCAATGTCGAGCAAACCACAACACAAACCGAAGCCATCCTTAAGGACATGGGGATTGTTGCTGATGATCGTCTTTTGATGGAAGCCCATGCTAGCCTTGACAGAGCAATCAAATCTGCCAGCAGCCTTTATAAACCACAAGAACAACAAGATGCGGTAAGTACTCAATGTCTTTTTGTATATATATACATCCATATACTCATATATCTATCTATCTATCTATCTAGCGACAACGCATGACAACAAAAGTACGATACAAGACGAATCCAAAGCCATTATTACGACAACTCAATAGCTTGCTGCGGGAACTTGAGCTGGATCCTAACCAGTTTATGGAACGTTTGGGTAAGATGCATACACGTGAATATGTAAACAAACATCAATGCATCTGACGCAGGTATCAATAGATGACATCCAAGCACTAAAGACAACCAAAGTGGATCTCGACATTGCAAAAACAATCGCTCTTGCTGCTAAAAGCAATCTTAAACGAAGGATGATCCTTTTGAAAAGCACCACTCGCCATTCAAATCATGCAGAAATAGCCATGGTAATACAATTTAACCCCACTTTTTATATGTATGCTCACATTCTTCATATCATAGTTGGGAGAAAAGATCAGGAAGAGCGTGGCAATGTGGAAAACGTATGCTCGTGACGCACCTATGCGATTGGATGGAAAGGATATCTTGGATATTCTTGCAAGTCAAGATGATATTTTGGCAAAGGATGTAAGTAGGGATGACATGTGAATATATGAATATGTACTGATTAGAGGAGGAATTAGGGCCCTGGACGTCACCGGATGTCTGTGGATAGCAATGGACCCCTTTCATCACCACGCAGCTGTCGAGATCCTTTGAAACACACAAGGACAGCTTCTCTTCATGCCGGTGTCCCAACGACAAAAACAGCAATAATTAAAACGGACAAACCAACCATTCCACCACCCTCCAAAAAGATACATCGCCATCCTGTAAAGACATCCAAAGTAAACACGACCACCAAGACCACCACCACCGCTATCACACGCATGAGACCCACAACAGCAAACAACAAAAAGCTCACCATCACGTGTCCAAACCCATCACCCTTACCTGTATCATCATCATCAACTATCCTAGAACCACCACCCACCAAATCAACATCCAAATCCCTGATCCAGCGCGGACCGGGATCCACATTACGTCTTCGAAGTATGCTAGCAAAACGTGCCATGGCAGTAGCATAGTAGTAGTAGTAGTAGCTTTAAAGCAGTGTAAATACATTGTCAATACATACAAATTGTACATGATCATCATGATTGGCTTCTACATAGGACTCTAAACTTTATCCAACAATCGTTGCACTGCAGCATCAGCTACTTGGTCTATAGAAAGGTCGTCGGTGTTGAGGACAAGGACATCTTCCACAGCTTCGTGTTCAATTTCGGAATGGTTGGTTCCTTGAAACAAGTGTTGATTCCATCTCACATATTCAGGCCATACAATAGCATCAAAGTAACCAGGAGGATCCGCCCAATAACCTATGTACATGTCCCATCAGAGATACAAAAGGGAATTTTGACAAGTTGTTGGTACTACCTTCTGTTGTCACATAGCCTTGTCGACTCTCACGTCGTGTTTTAAGCGTGGTATAAGAAGCTGTGATGAATATCTTGCAATCGAATTGTTGATACAACTCCTGATCCCAGTAAAGCATGAATCCATCCACAATCAAGAATAAAGTATCTTCAAGCGCTGTTGCCAATTTGGAAAGACCCTCCAATACATGCTTTGACACTTGAGTCGATCCATCATGCTTGTTCTCTTCTTCCTTGGAAACAAATCCTTCAGGTAACTTGCAATGTTTGATAGCATAGTGCACACATTCATTCAATTTATCAAAATCGAGTGCATTTGGACAATCCCAATTCTGGAGCTTGGTCTTTGGATCCACTGGGATATCACTATCCGACTATGTACAAGATTTCTCTTTTTTAGTCCATTCTCCCCTAACCAACCCCATCCAACCATTATCTCAACGTGTACTTGCCTTGAAAAAGTCATCCTGATAAATAACAGCAGTATGCTTCAATGCTTTTTGTAATATACGCGTAAGGGTCTAGCAGTAGTAGGGTCTTTGTGAGTCTCTCCATCACTACCTAAATCGTTCATTGTACCGTTTTCCCCGAGCATGACGGACCGCTACAGAATGTCAAACACATGAGCCCATTGGCAAACCTTGGTTGTGGTAGAATCCCAAGTCACTTTACCTTATGCCTATAGTAAATACCTTGCTTGGCATAGTAGCAAATGTAGAAAAAGAACCGGAATAGGCAATAAAGGCCACACACCCTTCCTCCGCCAAATCCATGCCGATATGGAAGGGGGTTTTAAAACCATTGGATAATGCTCGATCCATTGTACATAGTAAAGGCTACAATATTTCATTTGGGAATCATTGATAGTAAGGTATAAACGATAATACAAAAGATATGAAAAGGGGGATAACTATACTACATCAAAAAGACGCTTCACCATCCATTCATCCATCCATGATGTCGCGTTCCATGTGATCAAAAGTGGCTTTGTTATGTACCCATGAATCCCATTCAAGTGGATGGAGGCCAATATCCTTCTGGTGGTGTGGGGGTACTATCAAGTACGCCTGGAGGGACCTGTGGGTATGCTTGAGCTTGCTGTTGTTGGATTCCATAGGGAGTTGGATGATTGTAAACAGTGCTTGCAGGTTGTTGTTGTTGCAGATAAAGGTTGTAACGGCTATTATCCATCATACCCGATGGCGATGCCAGATAAGGGGCCATGTCACTTGCAGCAGATTTGACAACATCATAGCTCGACGTAGAAGAAGATGGTGTCTAACAATATACCATGTTTAATAGCTTGTTTTTGTCATCCCTTTCACGCTCTTTGTTACCGGTGGCTGCATTTTCATTGTTGGTTGCTTTGTGTTTGTGGGTCTTGGAGAATTCATTCTACTACCATCATCCCCTTGTGGCTCCTATGAAATAGATGATCATTAATGTTACTACTCTTCACCACCATGATACGAATGAGCCATCAACATTACTTACAGGATCTGGAGCATTCAAACATGATTGGATCAAGGTCTTCCCCTCGGGTTTAGTCACCATCGGCTGCAACTTTGGAGTTGTGAATGTATACACCAAACCTGTCTCTGACACAATCAACAGCAACACTTGAGTGCCTGTCAAAGTAGAAAGTTCATAGGCCTTTAAAAAAAGAACGTGTGTGAGAAACTAGATGACCCAAGACAATCAAAAAGTACCTTTTTCATGATACCGGCTTTGCGCTTGGAGAAGGTGATATGTCGACGGTTCTTATCCTCTATGTACTCGATCTTGATTCTCTTTCGACCGGCACGTTTGGCAGGCAATGGATCGGAAGGAGATAGGATGTCGTGGTCTACATCGTCGACGAAATGGGGATCGTTCTTTTGTTGACTAGAATGGAGGCATCTGGAGTGTAAGTCCAAGTGTCGTTGTATGTGCGGTTGTTATGGTATTCTTGTTTAACAAACCTTCGTTGCATAAATGATGTTAACTCTTTTTGGTGATGTTTAACTGAAAGAGAGAGGTGGTGGTCCTCCGTCTTCCCCGCTTCTCGGGTTTCCAAGGTGATGATGATGAAGATGGTTGCCAAGACACATGCACGAATATTTCCTTGTCCTTAGTCATTGTCCATGATCCATTTTTATCGAACGTCTGCAGGGTCGAATGCATGTTAATAAAGATGTCTCCGCTCACGGACCACCTTGCACCCCAATACCCACTACTACTACTACTGCTGCTGCTGCTGCTGCTGCTGCTGCTACCGCCCCTGCTATTTTTTCACTATTTGCATAGCATCACGTGTGCATTTGCATGAGAACAAAATCGCCTGATAATGGAATACGTGCAATATGATGGTAAAGTCTTTTGTATATTGATATTGTCACACGCTGCTACATACAACTAATCTGCTGCTGCTGCTAAAAAGTGGAGCTGGGGATGAATTTAGGCACCTTGTTGCTTCTCTTTTCTTTCCTGCATCATCATGAAGGGGTGGATCACTGTTGCTATTGCACTCACAAGCTGCATAGTGGGATGGACAAATGACATTGGCGTTTCTGCAGATAGACAAACGTAAGTCCCAAGCATACGATGAGAAGATGCATATGCATAAACTAACAGGAACTCAAATGCATGCAAAGCGCCCCAGTCAGGACACCTCCCTCTCCTTGCAACGGCTTTGCTGATGAGTACCAGCTTCCTATCGACCAGTTCTTCTACCTCGGTGCCCACGATGCAACCAATCCTAAACGTCAAGATCGCGACATTACCGACTTGCTGTATGATGGTCTGTAACAAAAACGAGATGACATGTCAAAATCGCGAGAATGAGTCGATATACTAACACGAGAGGAACATTCATAGGGGTTCGATGGATTGATCTCAAGCTTTGTCATTCATCTGATAGGTAAGTATCCATAGGGTTAGGATACAGGCAGCATCACTGATATCCACCATGACAGGCAGCAGCTTACCACTTGTCCGGGTTCGGTTACACTACACGAATTTGCCGATCAAGTCCTTGATTTCGCCCGTATCGAACCAGAACAAGTTATTATCGTGCATGTATCGACACCAGAGGATGCATCTCTAGACAAGGCTTTTGAGGATACTTGGGATGAAGTATGCAAGGTCCATGCAGAGCGTACGGAAGGCACGGATGAATTTGTCAAACGCGAGGTAACCAATGACATTCGAGTTGAGAGGAAATCCTTATTTTGTTTCCTAGTGTCCTTTCGTCTACACGCACAAAAAAGGGGGTCGATGGCCATCGATTGGTGAATTGGTGAATTATGATCCAGAAATGGCACAATGGCAAGGTGATGGCGAATTAGTTGGTGTACGTTCGAGAATCATCCTTACAGCCGAACCCTCTGTGGCAAAGGGAACGACCTACTTTTCAAAGGTAAATGTGGATATCATTTTGATTTATCTTGTGTGTGCTAATAAAGATGATTGATATAGCCATTTTGGCGTTCATCAACAACACAAGGTGCCGGAAAGCTTAAAGAGCATATGCATGAACTTTGCAAAACTTCAGGTGGAATAGCTCTTGAAGGTGAGAAAGAGGACGATCTTGGGTGCTCTTTACTATCCAATGCTCACCCCCATCATTCGTAGCTTATGCTGACAAACAAGGCGATGACATGTAAGTGAAGGATCCTTTGTGCGATCTTGGGAGGAGGTATTGTTGATGTCTCACTGATGGCATTTTTCTCTTTGTATTTAGTGTTGACGAGGTAAGTGTTTGCTTTATTTTGCTCCATGGCAACCATTGACTCACACTCTATTGTATAGACTTTTGATCCTGTTACTTGGGAGGAGATCATCATGTCGTCAGCTGCATGCAACATCAATGGCACACCTCGCGACAGCCGCCTCAGCTTGATTCAAGTCGACTTTTACGAGAAGCATATGGATTACTTGCTTGAGTTGCAGCAACGTATGGTTCCGATGAATTATGCAAAGTGGAAAGGAAACGATTACACTGTGTCACCATCCAGGCTTGTCACCCTTCGACGTGTAAAAGATGAACTATAGAAGAGATTTGGTCCATGTCCCCCAACATCATGTTATATCCCCTTGATGACCCTATTGCATTGACCTATGTATAACGCCAACAATGTCCAATTACCGGGATCCAGTAAAATACGACATAAAAGTACATTGGTACGACATCCATATTTGGGGGATATGAAGAAAAGGTTCTTGAGAAGCCATGAGTCGCGGTATTTCATGCCGCTTTTTTAAAATATATCATCGTGTTACTGCCATGGCCTGGCACATCATAGATACAAACATAGGGTGTCAGGAGAAACCATCTTTGTTTGTTTCTTGATAATTGGTCCCGTGCCGAGACATCAGGTTGCTGTGACACGAGCACAAGAGAAGATGAAAGGAAGAAGCTGAGCCTGCTGCCTGCCATTGTGTCACTATGAAAAGAGTTACATTGTCGATCATCTAGCTACTGCCAAACTGCTATCAATCCAAAGCAGTAAAAGGATGTTTATTGATGATGGAGGGTAAAGAGCATGTAGCATGATTGGAAAAGTGCTATAGTAGTAGTTTGGAACTAAAGAATCACGAATGTTCTGAAATGGGGATATCCACATGCAAGCAACTGTGCTAGTCCAAGTCGGGGGGAGGAGATGAGGTGCAGCATCAATTACATTTCTTTCATTTGTTAAACTCTCCCTCCCTTTTCCTTATCACTCCCACTTCTCCAATTCCCAACATGTGGCGAGGCATTGTCCCGAGGATTCTCTTCATTGCCGCCAGTTGCGTATTGCTTATCTCGCTTTACCTGTTCTTCCCTTCAGCCTCCCTCACAACCACAACAACCCAAGTACAAAGTTCCAAAAACACGCAAGAAGGTGCCAAGACTTCAGTTCACACTACTCCAACAACGACAACCACCCACCCTGACGAACCGATCCGTGCTTGCTTTGTCATTCTTGTTCGCAATCGCGAGTTGGACGGCATCGTTTCCACTATTCGACAAGTCGAAGACCGCTTCAACAAAAAGTTCAATTATCCTTATGTCTTTTTGAACGACGATGACTTTACCGAAGAGTTCAAGCAAAGGACATCAGAATTGACCCAAGCAGAGACTCGCTATGGCAAAGTGGATGAACAAATGTGGGGGTATCCAAGCTACATCAATCAAACTTTGGCAGCTGAGAACCGTGAAGAAATGGCTCGATTGGGTATCCCTTACGCTGACAGTGAGAGTTATCGCCATATGTGCAGGTAGGATACAAGGATGCTGGTTACATACGTGTACGTAGTAGTTAGCTGACGAGATCAAATCATAGATTCCAAAGCGGTTTCTTTTTCCGTCATCCTTTCCTTGACGATTTCGATTGGTATTGGCGTCTTGAACCTGATGTGGATTATCATTGTGATTTGGATTATGATGTATTCAAGTATATGCGTGATAATGGCAAGAAATATGGTAAGTAGTGATCGAGGAGAGAGATGAGTGATAGGATCAAAGTACTTATTACCCACGTGTTGTTGTTAGGCTTTACAATTGCATTCAAAGAATTTGGAGCTACCGTATCAAGTCTTTGGAAAACGGTGTTGGATTTTGAAAAGGCACATCCTGAGGTTGTTGAACATTCACCAGCCAAGCAAGATTCTCTTTGGCGCTTTGTGACCGATGATAATGGCCAATCCTACAACCTTTGCCATTTTTGGACCAACTTTGAAATTGCCTCGCTTGATCTATGGCGGAGCAACGACTATCTAAAGTTCTTTCACTACTTGGACAGATCAGGAGGATTCTTTTATGAGCGGTAAGGGATGGGAAATGAGGAAAAAGGGAGGTTGTTGGATACTGAATGAAATTGATTAGATGGGGAGATGCTCCGGTTCACTCTATTGCTGCTGCTATGCTCTTACGCAAAGATGAATTCCACTTTTTCAATGATATCGGTTATCGGCATACGTGAGTTTTCTGGATGAGGAGCGGTCTTTTAGAAATAAGCGTGGTATGGCAATAGTAGTTTATTTAACGTCTCCGCTTTTTATATATAGGGCATACACACATTGTCCAGTGGAGCCTGAATATCGCAACAAGTGCTCATGCGATCCTGCAAGTAATTTTGGTAAGTAAACATGGTGTCATTTTTTTATATTAAGCCAAGCCAGTAAGCTGACGGGTTGATTTGCTGTTTAGACTATGATCCTGGACTCAGTTGCTATACGACGTACAAGGCAGCCATCGAGGGCCAATGAGCTAAAAAAAAGTGACTCGTGTAACATTACCCTTCGTGCCAAATGCATCAATATGGTTACGACTGTTAGACAAGCGACAAAAGAATAAAAAATATCAAAGCGGGGGATGTAGCATTCATTTCATTTCTTTCACCCCTTCCTTTCCTTTCGCACCTTCTCATTTTAGTACACGCTTGTCCTCATCATCCATCCTCTTCACAGCAGCACACGCATCCATAAATAATACATATACACCTTGACATCAACATGCGTTCTGTTGCATTTGGATTAGCTGCACTTGCCTCTGTGGCTCTCGCTGCTATTGATACACAGCCTGTGCGATACCCTATCACTCGAGTGACCCGACGCAGTGTACCACACGATGATCCTCGTTATTACCGCAATCGTTTCAACCCTATTCATTACGATTCCATCATGGATGATCTTGAGGATTTGATGTCTGGCAACGATGATGGCAGCAACAGTAACAACGACCAAGCTCAACAACAACAACCAGCTAGTGGAACAGCACCTTTATTGAATGATCTCGAGTTGTATGAGCTTGCCATCAATGTATCTATTGGCACACCCAATCAAACCTTCCTTTTATTATTCGACACTGGAAGCTCGGATACATGGATCCCTTCTCAAGCGTGTACTCAAGAAGAAGGATGTGTTTCAGGCAACCAATTCAACCCCGATCAGTCATCCACTTATCACTCAACCAACTATCCCCTGAATATCACTTACGGCACAGGCAACGCACTTGGCGATTACTTTGTTGACACCATTAGCGTTGGTAACTTGACACTTGATAAGCAAGTCCTTGCTGTGGTGGATACCAATGAGGGCCCTATCGCACATCAAAATACGACCGAGGAAGGTGGTGATGAATACGTACTTGATGGCATTCTTGGTGCTGGTTATCCTGCAGGCACCATCATGTTCCAGCGATTCAATCAATCGTATTATCCTTTCCCACAAGCGCTTTGGCAAGCACACAAGATCCCTGAGCCCATTTTTTCAGTGTACATTGGTGAATCGGAAGAGGCCGAGTGGTGTGGTGAAGTCGTCTTTGGCGGTGTGAATCAAGAAAAGACAGCTGGTGACATGGTGTATACCGATGTTGTAACCTATGTTCAGAAAAGCACAGGTCTCAAGGTCCACACGCGATGGAATGCTATTGTGCAGGGATTCCAATTAGGCACTGCCGATTTTAGGTTGCCACCCAACACACCTTTTACCATCGATACCGGTTCCAATTTCATGTACTTGCCCCTTGATCTCGCCAACAATCTCGCAAAGGCTATTCGTGATGATGTTCAAGTTGTCGATAACCAGTACGTTGTTGATTGCTCTGTTTTGGAGGATGAAACCGATTTGAAGATTATCTTCCCTCTCCAAGGCAACGCTGCCCAATCCGTTTTTATCAGCACTCCTGTCAAGAATCTTGTTGCACGTCGTGTTGAGGATGGTGTCTGTATCCTTTTCTTTGTCCCATCGGAACATTACATCCTTGGTAACATGCTCCTTCGCAACTTTGTCACCGTCTACGACTTTGGTCAACATCGTATTGGTTTTGCACCCGCCATATCAGAGGAAAAATCCGACCAAGAAGACCAACCTAATGAAGGCGACGATGATGGCGACGACGATGCCGGCATTGACACCATCAACAGAACTGAAGACGACAATGCAAGCGATTCTGATAATGGAAGCAGCGTTGGTACTGAAGGTACCCTTGGTTTCGGCAATGCTGAAGGTGTCACTGGTCCTGGCAACGGCCTTGGTGATAATGCCAATACCACTGGTGACTCGAATGGTGCTCCTGTTGATGATGATGGCTCTACCAATGCTACTGGTGCCAGTGGTGGTGATATCAACACTGATCCCCAGGCAACCACTCCTCCCGCTGATGATGAAGCTGCTGCTGCTGCTGCTGAGCAACCCAATGTTGAGAATTTGCAACAACCACAACAGCCACAGGATGATACCACTTCTCTATAGTCCTACGCAATCTTACAAATGTACAACAGTAGCAACCTGTAATAAAGCCCATCCCATCTATATTGAATTGTATACTGAAAAACACGCAACCCCGACATCTTTCATGCAAAATGTGTGTAGCAGCAGCAATAGTATCGTCATGTGCTCTCATGCATATACCACCGGACATGATTCATCGATGTCAAGAAACATGCAACATGATTATGATGAGAACTATCACAAGCAATCACGTCGGAAAAAAAGCAGTCTGTGTGTGAGCTTCTTCCAATAAGCCGGCAGCATGCATATACGTATTTTCATTTATCAACCTTTCCAAGTATTAGGGTCGATCCGAGTTGCTTAAACTTTCCGTACATATCAATTTTCTTTCTTCCTTTCTTTTCTTTCTTCTCTCTTTTATCCTTTCTTTTTGTTGACTTGCTATGTCTAATGATGTCAAAGAGAAACCCAAAAGTTTTGACAACACGGCGGGTGATCCAGCCGCTACACCCGAGATCTATTTTGACGCCGAGATGTCGTTACCATCATCAAGGGTAGATGATTCACTGGATGAGAAACGCCAAATCGATGAAGACGATGATATTCGTGTTGTCAATGAGCTAGCGAGTATGGATGATGATACAACTTTGCCATGTTTTACATTGCGTGCCATTGTGATTGGATCAGTAAGTGGGAAATACAAGTCTATACACACCCCCTATACACCACCACCTCCATCGCCCACAACGCCTTCACCCCTTGAATGGATCTATGCAATGCATAACGCATGAACCAATGCAAGGGGACGATGGGGTATGGGAACTGTGTATGATAATGAGTAATAATAATGGGAAAACTAGTTGCTTGCTTGCCTTAGTGCATCCGTGTATCAGCTCATGTTATTCAAACCCGTGGGGTTACCGCTTTCCAATACCTTCATGCTCATGGTAGCTTATGCAGTGGGCAATGCATGGGCACATTATCTGCCACGTATCGATTGGCTAAATCCTGGCCCCTTCAACGTCAAAGAACATACGTGTATCTATGTGATGGTGTCGGCTGCCAATACCTCTGCCTATGCGACGTTTATCTTATCGGCACAACAACTCTATTATGAGAATCCACCCTCTCCAGCGGGATCCATCTTTTTGCTGTTTGCGACACAAATTGTGGGCTATGGCATTGCAGGCCAATTGAGACCCTTTTTGGTCTATCCACCCAATATGATTTGGCCTACAACTCTGCCAACAGTGTCATTGTTACGTACGCTCAACTCAAGTAAAGCCGAAGCTCGGTGGCGTACAAGGTTTTTCTTTATGATCTTTGCTGGCATGTTTGTCTATGAATTCATCCCACAATACATGTTTCCATTGCTTGGTGGCATATCCATTTTATGCCTTGCTGTGCCTGGTTCCGAGTGGGTACAGCGTCTTTTTGGTGGTCTCGCCGTCAACGAAGGTTTGGGTATCATGCAGATCAGCTTTGATTGGAACTATCTATCGTCATTGAATCCCTTGGTATTGCCACTATGGGTGCAGCTCAACGTTTTTGGCGGTATTCTTTTATTGTGGTTGATTTATCCATTGATCTATTACTTTAATGTGTGGGATGCACAAAAGTTCCCTTTCCTTTCGAATTCGATCTTCCTTTATAATGAGACTACTGGCGAATCGGAGGTGTATCCACAACATCGTGTGCTCAATGAGGACAATACCCTGAATCAAACCATGCTTGATGAAGTCGGCCCGCCAAGCTTTACAGCCACCTCTGCTGTCAATTACGTATTCATCAACTTTGCTGTCACTGCCAGTATCACCCATGTTGCCCTGTATTATGGTAAAGATATTTGGCGTACGATTCGCACCACACGTGAGCGCATGATGCTTAAACGACGACGCAAAAAGGAAGGTGGTGGTGTTGACAAGAGCAAAGACATCACTCAAGAAACGGCTCATCCTGATGACGATATCCACATGCGTTTGATGCGGGCATACAAGGAGGTAAACATGTGGTTTATCGCATTACCAGTCATTCTTGCATAAAACATGCATTGCATGATTGGGTTTTGCCATTGTGTGATTAGGAACTGTATAACTGAAACACGGCTTTAGGTGCCTGCATGGTGGTATTATGGTTTATTCGTTGCAGGGATTGCACTTAATATTGGTATCGCCTATGCAAATCATAGTCAATTGCCTTGGTGGGGCGTATTGGCTGCTATTTTGATGTCATCCGTGCTCTCATTACCCCTTAATCTCATTACAGCCGTCACCGGCACAGGCTTCGGTCTCAATGTGTTTGCCGAAATGATTGGAGGATTTATGCTACCAGGGCTTCCAGGTGAGTAGATTATTACCAATGCACCAATGTTGATCATCAAGCTCACGATTGAATGCGTGTATAGTCGCCAACATGTATTTTAAAACACTCGGATTCAATACCTTGCATCAAGCCGGCTTGATGGCAGGTGATCTCAAAGTTGGTCACTATCTCAAGGTCCCTCCTCGTATTGTCTTTGTAAATCAAATCATTGGTACCATCCTTGGATGTCTCTTTAATTATGTCGTCAACGAAGTACGTTATATACATTTATCATCATCATCATCATCATCATCATATGGGTTTCATGGGCTTAAACTATCATCTAGAATGTCGTGACTAATGAACGCGATATCCTGCTTAATCCCGTTGGAAGCAACATATGGAATGGTGCCACCCCTCAGGTACGTATCAATGTATCCTTTATTACTTTTCACGGCTAAATCTGGTATACGTAGACTATCAATGCTGCTGCCATCACTTGGGGAGCTATAGGGCCTATGGCCATGTTTGGTCCAGATTCCAAATACTACATTGTGCTATGGGCATTTGTTATTGGGTTGTTCTTGCCTATTCCCTTTTGGCTATTACACAAGCGATTCCCTCGTATCCAAGGTCTTGGTCGTATCAACGTACCCATGATTATTGTGGGCTTGAGCACGTTGCCAGGTCAAGCAACTTCCTACATCACCGTTGCCTTTTGTCTCGTGATCATGTCACAATGGTATCTTAGACGCTATCGTCGCCAATGGTTTGTAAAGTACAACTACCTCGTCTCCACGGCCCTTGATTCAGCCACTTCACTCATGGTGTTTTTTGTTGCATTCGCATTGCATGGCGCTGCCAATGGCGTTGTTCATGAGTTTCCCATTTGGTGGGGCAACAGACAAGGTAAGGATACAAAACCCACGTGTGTGAAAGACCATTCTAACATAAACGTGTTCTTGACAGATGCCAAATACGTAGACCATTGTTGCATGGATTGCAATAACTGAAAGTTTTATTACTTTTATCTTCCTGTTTAATATCCATCATACTACTAATAAAAAGAACCAAGCAAGCAATCTGTAGAAAGCAATGAACATGTTAGTCGATGCTGGGGGATAAATACAATTGTATCAGCACATGCACGGCACACACGCCAAATGTTGGGATGAAGTTGAGAGCTCACGTAAAAAGAGGCAAACACGTTTGTCTTCAGCATAATGCAGAACAGGTCTGTGTGGTTTATCATCCTTGCAACTCAACTCAAAACATCCACAATCATCCAACAATGCGACGACATGAACCAACCACACATGAATAAAGAGTACTTGCCTTATGAAAGGGTAAAAAAAGGAAAGGAGGGTAAGAGAAAGAATAATAAACGTAAAACACGAATGCGCGTAGGCTTTATATAATGAAAAAAAAGTTTTCAAGTAGCGGGGTGGAAAGCGGGATCAGATCCTATAAGCGGTCACGAGGAAGTAGTAGCTTTGTGAGCCAACGCTTTATGGGCTTCAGCGAGTTGATTCTCGAGTTTCTTGATCCGTTCCTCATAGGATGTTTCCTTGGATACCAAACCAGCTTTTTCGGAATCAAGAACAGCTACACGCATCATAAGATCCGAATGCACCTTTTCCAACTCGGTCACTTTGTTTTCTAGCGATTCCATTTTGAGCACCTTTTTCAGTCGAGAACGACGTGCAGCGTCGGTGTTCTTTTGGCGTTTGATGGCCGCTTCATCCACCGGATCAATGGATGATGATGATGATGACGACGATGTTGATGGCTTACGCTGTGGTTGTTTACGTTTGGTCCCTGCTGTTGATGAAGACGACGATGTTGCCTTGCTAACTTTTGTTGACATTGTGGAAACACTAGAAGAAGGTGGTGTTGTGGGTGGTGTTGTAGCTGCAGAGTGCTGTTGTGTCGTCATGGAAGGTGGTATTTTGTTATTCATGAGAGCTATCAGTGCTGCTGCAAGACCATGCAAAGCGGGGGATGAATGTGTTGCACTTGTATTGGGTTGCCCATTGACAGGTGGCGAGGGAGGTGTCGTAATAGACGACGCTGGTAATGGTGTTGGAGAATTTGAGCTACTTTTATCGACGCTGATCTTGTCGTCTGTAACCGTTGGGGAAGGAGGAGATGCCATTGTATCGTTATCGCCGTCTTCCAAGGCGTCTTGCACAAGCCAATCGTCAAACAAAGGATCAGGGTTATTCTTATTCTTGTTGTCGTAGACACAGGTCATGTTGTTGTTATTCAGCAGGGAAGTAATCGAGTTTTGCATGTTTTTCGAGATATAGCGAAGAGTGAGCGTGACAAATTAGTCATATTGATGGTAGCAGATGTATTCATGTTATCCATGTGTGTAATTGTGTAAATGTGTGTGTGTGTAAAAAAAACGCTTGTGTGAACGTATGGGTTTAAATGATGATGACCGACATGATGGGTCGATATAGTAGAGCAAGGAAATAGATATAAAGATAAAGGGGAGGTATTCACACCAAGGTTGTTTGAAGGGAAAAAACGAGCCATCTGTCATTGCTCTTTTATACAATGCCCCATGGTAGGCAGTCAGCCAATCCCTGTCGCCCATCTTTGCCTGTACGTTCATATCCGATTGGTTGATTACTCGAAATGACTCATCTCACACTACAGACTTGCCTTTTGCGTTTGAGCATGACCCCACCACATCTGTTTTTTGAAACAAGTTGGGTAGATCTCTTTTACATTCCTCGGCAATAATCCTGCAGCAATCATTGTCAACAAACAAACAATACGCTTTTCAGAGCATCATTATGATGATGATGATATGTTTTTATGGTGCTGTGTGCGTGTGTGTGTATACGTGTGTGTGGGAGGTAGGTAGGTGGATGAGTGGCGTGTGAGTTGAAGGGATAAGGAGAAGCTTCACAGATGTGATAATCTAGTAGTACAGTAGGGAGATGGAGTTGAACACTGGTGTAAATTAAAAGTAGATGGTGATATATAACTAGGTGAGTTAAAGTGAAGGTGATGGTGTTTGTCGTCGACGTTTGTAAAAGAGAAGATAAGCCGCCCTTGACTATTATACTATTGTCAGCATCCATAACACTCATCCTTCTCGATAAAAAGCTTACCTTTGCATTGCCTTCATCTACTTCTGTGACATGAGAGTCATCAAAGTTGTACCATTTTTCATCCATCCAGTTTTGTGCACATGCAGTATCTATACAACATTGGTTAAATGAGTAAATAATATCAACAATGAAACCTTATTCAACTTACAATGGCCTCCACCCATGCCTCCAAAGTGATTATCCACTCCGTACAAGTCATAGATATATCGTTCATCCTTGGGAATATCATCTGGATTCTTGACACTTAATACACGATCCGTGAGATCAAGCTCCTTGAGAGGGAAATCGATGAAATCATCAATCTTGTCGCGCCATGAACGAGTGTGAGTGAAACGCTTGAGATGGACGACCAGGATTTCAGGTAGACGCCATAAATCAAACTTTTTGGATGCACGCTTATGTTCCTTGCAACGTGGGCAATACCATAGATCCTCCTCACTCAAAAGCTCCTCCTTGGTAAACTCGGTTAAACAATCGGCCAATGTAACGTTCTTGTTCTTCTTTGCAGCCATCTCTTCTTGTTGATCAATATCTTCATCGAGCATGTCCACATCTTTCCAGCCTGGGTTGCTTGTGCCAGCGTGAACAATGTCATATCCAAATACTTCCTCAGCCTTCTCGATAGGCCAATCCAATATGAGGCCTTCTCCTTGTACAATATCGGCTTTGGGTGCTGGCTCTGGTTCATCATGATCACTGCTACTGCTAGTGCTGCCACTTCGATATCTGCTTCCTGGATTGAATGAACCGCTACCACGTCTTGCCATCATTTTGTCCGACTTTCGCCCATGTTGACGTTTTTCCCATGATCTTCGTACATCATTGCGCACATCATCGTCATTGCTCTTGTTGGTAGCAGGACGTTTTGCTTCCTCCTCTCTCAATCGCTGATTTTTGGCTCCTCTTTCTTCCAAATCCTCAAGATCCTCTCGACCAAACCAAGTTGAAAAACCAGTAGGAATGATATTCGAATCACCGGTATATGAACGTTCTTCAGGAATAATCTTCATCTTGAAAAGACCAGGTAGTGGTTGCAACTGAGATTGGTTGGCTTGGGCATCAGTAGGAACTTCCTCAAATAATTTGACAGTAGCATGGCGTTCAACCTGATGTGTGACCACGCGACGAATACGATCAGGTTTGTCAGCGAGGTCTTTAGGAAAACTCAACATCAAAGGTCCACCGAATAAACTACGTTTGCCATCCTCAGACACAGCTCGACAGTAAATCGGAATCACAATAATCTTGCTTTCTCGCTGCTTGTTACTGCTGGATGACGCATTTCTTCCACCACGCAATGTATAGCCGCCGCTGTAGCTGTTATAGCCGCTGGGAGCAGGTGTAGGCACAATACCAGGAAATTGGTAGACGTAAATCTCATCGCTATCGCCAATAGTGTCGACGGCATCATCCAAGTCTAGAACCTTGTAGAGCTTGCCATTGAATACCTCTGCCACAAGGAGCTGATATAACACCATGTTAATAAACAAGGCCGTATCCTCTACAAAAGACCATACTTACAGAAGCACCAATCTTGCTATTTGTCTTTTCGGCAACTTTATCTCTGAATTGATCAATAGTCATCTTGTTGGGAACCTCCAAGGATAGCTGTTGTGTACGAGATGAAGGGCTGAATGGCACATAGATGAACTTGATGCGCTTCTTCTTGTGAATAGGCAATGGCAGCGATAGGTACATGAATGGATCAAACGTAGTCGACACCTGTAATAAAAGGAATGAATACCTTGTTCCATCAACACCAAACATACCATACCTTTTCACATGTATTACATGTTAGTCTGCTCTTGAACTGCCCTTGGAAAAGATCAACGATAATGGAATCATTGCGAGCTTTGTGATATGACCAACTCTCTTGAGCAATCTCTTGATCCGCCATGTTGTCAAAGTCCGGTAGCTCACGATAAGGCTTGGAGAGAATACGATTCAAATCCTCATGTAAACCATCCAACAGAAATGCGAGTAATTCTTGCGAGTCATGTTGCATGAATCCAGTGAACGAATGATTGAAATCACTGATAGTATGCTATGTATCATTGTTTGGAATGAGAAAGATGGGGTATATGTACATGTATATAAACTATGATCCTTACCTTGAATTCTCTTGGTGCTGTGCTGGATGACTTTCCACTCCAAAGGGTTTCAATCAATTTACCATAAGCTTCAGCCACATGACCTTTCATGCCAAGGGGATTATCCCGGTTTAGTTCCTCCTTGTACTTGCCAGCTGAGTCAAAAAGCGTAGCATTATGAGTATACTGATGATGCATTTGGATGTTTCCCCCTGACAAGTCATCTCCTTACCAAGAAAGTACTTTGATAGCTGAGGCGTGTTGCTGAGACATTGCAAAGCAGAATTCATGTAACACGTGTTGCCGAGATTGGTCAATCCACAAACACCCTTGGGCTTGTTGGCTGCACCATTACTGCCGCTGCCGTTGCCGCTGCTATTGTATAATGTAAGCTCACCGCCACTGCTGCCGTTGGTGGAAAATGATGGAGAAGCAGGTGTTGCAGTATTGGTCTGGTTATGGCTACTGGCAAATAGACTTGATGCCGAGGAAATAGATGACGAATCCGATGAACGATGACCACTGTCGTTGTGCTCTTCTGTACTAGCACTAGCCGGAACAACAACCGGTGTAGTCGTCGTCTCCTGATCGGTTGTGCTGTCAAACACGTCTTTGAGCGATGAGGGTGAGGCGATCTTGGGTTGATCGTGAGGAGGTGAGGGCGATGAAGTCTCCATTGGGTCCTGGTTGTCGTCGTTGTATTCAGTTGCACGCATCCTTTTTCTTTTCGGTGATTCGGATCCCGGTTCTTTTCGCTTCAAGTGCTCGTCCACAATGTCGTGAATTTTGACTACGTGTGAAAGTCGATAGGAGCAAGTGTTGATTGTAGTATAGGCGTGTAGCCGAAAGAGTGGGGGAGAAAGAAAGAAAGAAAGTGTCGAGGGTAAGAAGAAGAAAGAACCACTCCAAGCACAAGAGCCGATAGCTGGTGGTAGAAGAAGGGGTTTCGATCTATCATGAAAGCGCTTGCTGGTCAAGTCACGCCCTTTTACAAAGGCATCTCCGCATCCACCACCTTCCACCGTAAACGCTCAGGCCTACGTGTGTATCGGAACATGATCATGTGCTTGTTGTTGATGATGACGACGTTCTATGACCCTCTCCTCCCCTTCCCCTCCCCCCACAACAAGTTACCCCACAACCAAGCCCCATCATCATCATCATCATCATTACCTTCATGCACAATGAAACATCTCTGCTGCATTATTGACCATTCCTTTGTTGTTGTGTCTCAACCAATCCAGCATTGTGCCGGATATTATTATGCATGTTGCAATCCTTTCAAATACTCCCGATACCCATTAATCATACCCTCCACAAGATCATTCTGGAAGCTATAAAATGGGATGATGGATAATAAACTGTAATCGAAGGAAACTATGAGTCTACTACTACCACTACCACTACTTTGCTTGTGATTTTTGCCATTGGGCGTGGATGGCCATTGCGGATGTGATCATGCTAGGAGAAACGAATAGGAATGTGAGGAATGTTGGATGTTGTAATCCTACAACGATTATTACTTACCCTGCAATACCCACAATGCCTTCATCAAACCCAATGATGTTGAGGCCAGCCACTGGGATCACCATATCGATCAAGTCTTGGGTGAGCTGTTTGTTGACCGCCTTCTTTTCCCTATATTTTGTGCATCGACAAACATGCTTAGCCTCGCACTTTTGTCCCACATGATCATCATATGCATTGAAGAATGTATGTACCTGACCAAACTAGCAGCTTCCATCTCGTAGTCTTGTTTTTCTTCAGTGAGACCCTCCCTCTTTTGAAGCATGTGTGCTCGTACAGCAAGGCGCTTATGCTTGTACAAGGATGAGATCACCGACATGCACAATGCAAACAGCCATGCCTTGAAACCAAATTTCTGGAATTCAGGTGCACTTTGGAATTTGTAGAACTTTACAGTGTTTGCCTATGACAACAACCATTCACGCCATTATTACGTATACTCTCACTCATTGTTGCTTTACAACTTACAAGTACAAGTGCTTCACAGGTATAGTAGACAAGCATACCAATTTGCTTCAAAGCACCGGTGGCCTTGAGAACTTCATCAGGGAGAGCGAGGTTCTTGACAGCATTACTTCCAAATTCGAATTGCTTGAATAAGCGGAAAAACTTGCGAGCAACGCTCACATTGCTCTTGAGATCGTTCCAACGCTGTATCGTGTCTTTGGATGCACCAGTGCGGAAAAGGTAAAATACGTAGAATCGTGAAAAGTATTGGACAAAGCGCCATAACTTCTCTCGGCCCACTGTGGTGTTAAGGTAGCGGTTAAAAGTATCGACGGTGGTGGACATGGTTAAAAAAAAGTGGTATCAGCAGGGAAAAGAAGAACAACAAAGAAAAGAGGGGAGTGGATATTGTATGAGAAACCAGAGATCTAATCTTTCATATGCTTTTTGCAGTCGACCTGCCTTATTTAGAGACCATGTGCTCATATGGGCTACCTGTGACAGCCAGCATTTTCCTCGTAAAATATTCGTTGATTTGCTTGTGACAAGGGGATCAGAAAATGTGTGGGAAAGAGCTTACTGGATATAGTCATGCTTGAGAGATTGATCTCGGAATCACTATTAGTAAAGATGCTACCTGATGTGGATATCCCCACCATGTCATATTTCTTGTACCACAATTACCTGGGGATAAAAAGGTACCCATCAACCCCATCACTTGTATACTTGTTGATCCATAAGTCGCCTCCAATACATCATAGCTATGATTTATTTAGTAGTAGTTGTAGTAGTAAAGTGATAGTGATGATGGCGGTAGGGATGTATCAATAAGAAAGAAGAAGGGTTGCATTGATGTGCTTTAACATGGGATCAATAGGACAAGCATCGTAAAATGATTCACATGTCATAGCAACGTAGCATTGAAAAGGCCCATTTGTGGGATGGCTGCTGCACCAGCAATCCAATTTATGCGGATGGGCACATGTTTTCATTCGGAGCCTGCTCATCCGTAAGTCACGACGAGCAGCTGTATCTCATCTCCTTTTCATTCTCTCCTGTCGTTTTGACAACCAACCACAACCACCAACCGGTATGTACATATTGTACTCTTCGATTGCCGTTATAGACAAGCTCATCAGTCATTGCATATAGATTGGTCTTGCATTCCACTCATCTTTGAAGTGTAAGTTGTTGCTAGGGAACCCATTCATTTCGCTTTGTCCTTTTCTTTTCCTTTCTCTTCCTGGTTATCCACAACGGCGATCATTCCGTTCATTCTAACCTTGGTCTCTCTTTTATACCTTTTCTTATCTTGTTCGCTACCTTTGCATTTTACCTGCCACGACAACTCTTTTTCTGCACTTGTTCGATATTCTTCACGCGTCTTATCCACCTTTCAACCTTACAAGTTAGTTTTCTTTTTCTTATCAGGGGCGAGATGGTGTGGATGATTGCTTTTCTCTTTTTATCCTTTTGTTTTGGATGGGAGTGGGGGTCATTGTGTGTGCGTGTGGGGGGTGGTGGTATTATGATTTTAGAATTGCATTTGACATTGACGAGTAACTAACCGGTATACATCATTCATCCATGTAGATGTTGCTGATACACTCCCAGTCTTCAACGTTGCATCATGAAACGATCCCACGAGAGTACCAACCAAGGGGCTCCTGACGCAAGCAAGAAGCAACGCATCTCCTCACCTTATAGGTTGGTGACTACAGCTATCAAAATTGGGGGGTGATCTAATTCACATATACATGTAGCGACATGTATTCTCAATACTCGGCCATGAACCCAGCAGCAGCTGCCATGATGATGGGATCACAATATCCAGCCAACATGTTTTCACAAGCGAATGCAGCAAGCACAAAGGGCTTTGTTAATCAGTTCAACAATGGCATGTATAGTGCAATGAGTGGTTATGGTGGGGCAGCAGCAGCGGCAGCAGCAGCAGCACAAGGCATGCTTCGATCACCAAATGCTATCGGAGTATCAGCAGCAGGGGCCAATGGCAACACCAACACAATGATGAGTAACCAGGGCAACAACAGCAATACCGTTGCTAGCAACAATGGTCATGAAATGAGTCGCACCATCTACCTTGGCAACGTATCAAAAGAGTTGACATCCACCGATATCCTCAACTACGTCAAATCAGGGACAATTGAATCATTCCGCATGCTGCATGAAAAGAGCTGTGCCTTCATCTCGTTCTTGGATCCATTATCAGCACAATTGTTTTATCAAGAATACGCCAACAAACCATTATCCATCAACGACCACGAGCTCAGGATTGGATGGGGTAGAGCACAATCAGTACCTGACAATGTACAATTTGCAGCCCAAAATGGAGCGACTCGCAACGTGTATCTTGGCAATTTGGATGAAACGGTGACGGAGGAATCGTTGCGTTCAGATTTGGGGAAATTTGGCGAGGTGGAGCATGTACGAGTGATTCCAGAAAAGCGTATTGCCTTTGTACACTTTACATCCATTTATTATGCCGTCAAGTGTGTGTCATCATTACAACAAGATCCAGCTTGGTTGTCTCGACGTATCAACTATGGCAAGGATCGATGCTCCTCTCGCAGCTCATCAACATCCACGCCTAGCATGGATCAACAACAACAATATGGATTCACTTTCCAACATCCGTTCCGCGGAACATTTGGATTCGATTCTTACGGTGGTGCTAATAGCGGTAGTGCAGCAATGATGTCTCAGGCAGCAGCTGCTTATGGTATGGCTGGTGCTGGTGCAAACAATCCGGCAGCGTCATTACGAACACTTTATCTTGGCAACATTCCCTCTGAAGCTACTTGTGAAGATCTGTGCAACTCGATCAGGGGCGGTGTCTTGTTCCAAATCAGGTATCTTACCGACAAGCATATTGCTTTTGTTACCTTTATCGATGCCAATGCTGCCATGAACGTTTTCAACCATGCTTGTACTGTTGGCATTGTGGTCAAGGCGAAAAGGTTACGAGTGGGATGGGGCAAGCCATGCAATATACCAACATCCGTAGTGGTAGCTGTACAAAATGGTGGCGCTTCACGCAACATTTATATCGGTGGCATTGAGGAGGATTTTGATGAAGAAAAGCTTCGAAGCGATTGGTCTGAATATGGCGAGATTGAACTCATCAATGCTTTACGAGAAAAGAGCTGTGTCTTTGTCAACTTTACGCATATCAACAATGCCATGAAAGCCTTGGCTGCTATGAAAGAACATCCTGTGTACAAGAAATACAAGATCAATTACGGCAAAGATAGATGTGGCAATCCCCCAAAGAAATTTTTGCAAGCAACCGGATCACAGCAACAGCAGCAACAAGGCACACAATACCCAGTGATTCCTGATCAGTAGTCCTAGTCATACATACTCTGCATATAAAGAGACACAATAAAAACACCCCAACCAATATCACCAATTATACGCTCTGGTCACGCGATCACAAATTTAAAGTTGTGTTGTTTAACCGAAATAACAAAAGGGATGAACGTGCGTTATGTATTATTGTTGGGTTGCGTAACTGGCTGACCAAAAGGATAAATGCCTCGGGATGAGCAATACCTTGTTTTTGATTACCGCGGAACGGTGTACTAGCAAGCAGCTCGAATTCCAATAGGCCAGACCCTGGGAAAATTGGAGGTGAGAAAAGGCGGGGTGAATCAAAGTAAAAGTGCTTTGTGGAGAGGGGAGAACAGATCACAGCAAGTTTCATTTTAAGCCGCCAAAACCTTTCTTGGGATTCAAGGTCAGCGTGCAAAGACCTATTTGTGGCATGGTTGCATGACGTGATAACGTGTGTGGGGCCGTTTTTTGGGTCCTCATTACTATACGCAACGCACTGGATCGGTCCCGCGGAACAAGTGGAGAAAAAAAAGACAAGGCAACTCCGCATTTGGATGATGTGATGGAAAACAAGGGAATCCAGGGATGGAATGGAGTGGAAAAACTCTAGAGGAGATTGTCATACATCGTTGCATTTGCCGTCGGATATGAACAAAAGCCGATTGCAAATAAGGTTCATAGTTAAGCGAAAGTAACAGGCAACCAGTTGTGGTAATAAGGATTGACATGCATGATCAAAGGCACCAATGATTGATATTCCATGGAATGGATTATGATTAACGACGAGGGATCAGAGAGAAAAAAAGGGAGACAAAGTAAGAATGATGATCGCACATACATCACTAGAGAATGACAAGCTGAAAACGTGGTAAAAAACATCACCAAATTGCGGGGTAATAATAATGCATGTTTCTCTCACTCCTTGTTAGCTGACTCACGTTTCTTTTTGTCATCCATTTGTGAGTCAGCGAAAGTGCAATGACTGAGTGTGGGGAAAGCTAAAGCGCCGCGGGCAGACTCGGGTGTTGTCTAGTTCCAAAATGTCCCAAGTCGCCTCATCCTTCAGCCCGCCTTTGGTAGGGTCTGTCAGGGCCCCCACTTAATGTAATACAAGATTCTCATTGGGGCTGTTTCAACTCTTACTACAAGAAGCCCACGTCGGAGCCAAACTCATGTCCAAAGCTATATAAACCTTGCGATCCATGCCCCCCAACGCCTCTTTGAACCATCATACAACATCATATACATCACCCTTCTCTTTCTTTAAGCGCTCTCGTTTGTGCATTTCATCTTTTTTTTCTTGCCATCTCCTCTTCAATGCTACTTCGCTCTTGATTGACCATGTACGGTACTATCGTTATCCCCCATCAACTCGACACTGCCACTGCTGCTGTTGCTGCACCTGCACCTGCCATCTTATCAGGTTCGTACATTTGAGCATCTTCGTTAACCTATAACTTGAAAACTAATTAAGTGGATGAATTGGCTTATAGATCTACAATATGGTGCAATCCAAATCCCCTATTCTGAAGATGACCCTTCGGCGTTCTTCCAAAAGGCTGCAGCTTCAGCTATCCAATGCGAACAAAAAAGGCGTGTCTCTTTAATGTCTAATCCTGAAACTGAGGAGGAAGACGATGATTCGGATGATTCTCTTCAAAGAGCATCAAAACGTGCCAAGACGAATTTGCTGACTGAAGAAGAGAAGAGGGCTAATCATATCGCTTCTGAACAAAAACGGCGTAACACCATCCGCACGGGCTTCAAGGAGATGACTGATTTGGTTCCTACCTTGAAAAACGTCAACCATTCCAAGAGCACCATTCTTTTCAAGGCTGCCGATTATATAAAGTACCTCGACAAACGAAATCAGGAATTGCGTGATAAGGTGGCTTCCCTTCAGACTCGTGTTCAACGCAAGTCGATTTATACCAACAAGCCGTATCGTCATCAACATCAACATCATATTCATCGACATGCATCTATCTCTATCCCTGCTTCTTCCTCTATTGACGCTATCGCCTCACCATCCTCATCTTCTACCGCCTCCAGCATCACCATGTCTCCTTCCTCATGTGTAAATAACAGCATCACTCCTACTGCTCTCGTCGTTCCCAATGATGAGTTCTACTCTGCCCCGAGTCTCAATATTCCCGCCGACGACGACTTTCATCAATCGCATCATGACCATTTGCTCACCCTCCGTCATTTGAGCCAACATCATCATCATAATCATAACCATCATTAAGCCCAAAAAATAATACATTATGATCCAAGCATTTACTCTTTTGCCGTAAAAAAGTTGACACCCTTCAATGGTTCATTTTCCATCACTTGTTGTGCATTGAATGATTGCTTATCCAAGGGTTCGGTTTGCTTGTATAATAGAAATGCATATCGATGAGGTGAATCAGGTTTTTGATACGCTTGCAAAGGTTGATCCGATGACCCTGCCATGGGGTGTACAATTGTGTTATCAAAGGAAACAAAGAGAACCTTTTTTGTACACTACTTTCCCACACCTACCTGGCGACATGGCCCAGTGACAAGACTTGGTGTCTGGATCGATCTACAAAAGGAGTGATCAAAAACGGATGCATGTGGCGCTTTGTGTATGCATGTTTACCATGAGTAGTGTATAATCATCCTCTTGGGGAATCACCGTAACACTAGGCTCTTGAGCTGTGTCTTGAATACGCAATTCATTACCCAGTAGTACTTGCTGATCTCCGTACTTGATATCCAGCATGGCTTCGGGATAGAAGTTTTGAGGAACGACTATAATAAAACCGCCCATGTGAATATACGGTCAGCTTAAAAGCTTATCACAGCATCACTTTTTACACAAGGTGATCCGATGACTACTTGCTTTCAGGTGTCAGGTGGGCCTGGCGTAGTGCCATCCCAATGTTCATTTCGTTGGTCACCAAAGGCATACTTTTTTGTTCAACAAGGTTGTTTCGAAGAAACGGGTGGAAAAAGAGGTGGTTGCATGAACCAACACGGGCGTCTAAAACAGGTCAGTGTGTGAAACCGTTATGACGTCGTGCAGCAAATGGCCCCTTCACCCATCCCCAATCCATTTGTCGGGTCCGCTGCTGCTTGCCCCGCTAATTGAAGCTTATCATTCAGCAGCAATAGAATTATGTCCATTGTGAGAGCTACCTTCACATGAGTATCATATTTACAGAGGAGGTTATCTTGCTGTTGATAAGGCATTCCTATCAATGTTACTTTGCTATCAATGCACCTACCCATGCACAAGGAAATACCAGACCCAGTCCAAGCGGTTGCGTTATCACAAATAGGTACCATTTTTGACTATAAGAGGTAAGGTGCACAAATACTTGTATTGCATTACTTTTTCAACATGGCGGTTGTCGGCCTGTAGTCTTGGCAACCATAAAGAACCCGATATCAATTGGCTGTGCATTACCATACACGCTGTATCCAATGCATCCCATGTCCTAGAGATTGATGCAAGATTTTCACATCCACTGTTAAAAGATGGCATATGCATAACGCATGTGCATGAATAACATGCAATGACGAATGTCATCAAACGCTTTCGAAGGACCTCCTCATGTTTCAAAATCATCCTCGTAACTTGATACAATAGCAAGCGAACCAATCTTCATATCCACTATTTATGTAAGTGTACTTTGTGACGCTATGAGATGATACGGTGCTAGGCTTTGTCGCTTGATTATCTTGCATTGACAGTATCGAATACAGTCTTTGTTCAAGATACAATGAATCAATCAGACCCTCCACCTTCCTCTCTTTTTCCTTTATCACAACATCCACACAATCCTGCTTAATCCTTTCCATAATACAATGCATCAAATGCACTCACACGATGAGTCCAACTCAGGAAAAAGGAAGGTCATATAGAAACTGAAAAATGGTTGGCCAACGCATTGCCGTATTCGCTAAGGTAACCTTTTGATCCAACATCATTCACAAGAGATAAATTGAGAGGTACAGTACAACGAATTGCTCCAATAGGGGGGAGATACATCGGTATGGGAACCTTCTATCCTTTAAGCGTGCATTGTGCAAAGGTGAATGGATGGACTGGGGCTGGCACTTGATGTGTGGTGGCAAATCGTATGTGGTTGGATGGTGATGATGGCTGTACATGACTGACAGGTTGCACAAAGGATGATGATGGCTGCCATGGAATAGCATATAGAGTAGGATAATTGGATGCACCAAATCCTTCACGGCAATACTATCAAGGTGTATATCCAAATCCTTCCATCCCATATACCAAAGCAATATCCATATCCATAAGAAGTTGTATGTAATGAGCAATGTTGCTACGTGTAAATAAAGCTGCTTCTATATAACCGCTATCTGCTGTTCACGTGAACAAGGCTGTATGGCAAGTTGCTGCAAGTAGAGAGCATTGTTGGAGACAATGGAGTAAAGAGGTTGCTAATAACAACTGCTGCATTGAATGCTGTTACGATTGGTCGTGGCAGAGAAGTGTGCAAGAGGGTGTGTTGTATCAAAGAAGGCGTGTTGTGTTGTAGTGGGGTGCACACACCATGGACTTGCCATTCAGTCAAAGACAATCGGATCAAGAGAGTTGTAGGATTGACATGATGGGTTGAAGCATGAGCATCACTGGCATGTGGTAGTTGTATGCTTGAGTGGACCAACAGATGAGAATGAGAGAAAGAGGGAAGAAGCTGGGAGTGGAAGAGGTGGAAATCAAATGAGGCGGACACCTCTTGAATAAATGCATGAACCCTGTAAGCTAAATCTTGATCATGGGATTGCCCACTTCGGCCGTGAAACTTTCGCACATTATGCTCTTGGTCATTCTGATCAACTTTTATTAAAAAAGACCCTACACTTCATTATAGGAATTTGAATGGGAGGATGTAATGTGAGTTTACTATAGCGGTCGTACATGGAGGTCGGCGCCGGATTCATGATTTGTCGAAATAGTATGTACTATCTTGGGATTCCACACTTTGGACTTGAAACTTTGTCAGAAGGTTCGCTGGGACACGCTGATCAACTTCATTCATTTAAAAACCATACATTTCATTAAGAATGTCTTGGATGCGGGGTGGTCCAAATGGTGTATAACGGGTACAAAAGAGAGGACGGCCCACCGCCCCGAAGTTGCCCACTTCCAACTTGAAAATTGGTCAGAAGGGTGCTCTCGAGCATGCTGATCAACTTTTTCTAATAAAGACCTCATGCTTCAATTGAAAATTATGGGAGCGTCCAAAAGTTTGAAAGACGGAGACATTCGCAGGGTCTGTCTTTCAAGAATTGACGTATTCTTTGTTTGGGCGTAGCTCAGTCAAATCAGCTCGGATCAAGAAGCTTCGATGATGGAAATGAATGTCTGAAGCAGGAGCATAATTCCACTGTCACACAATGAACAAAAGTTGGGATTGGGAGAAAGTGGCTGTTAGCTGCCAATCATAGATAGTGTATATGGTATCATACATTGGCCATTTCAGTCATGCAAAATGGCTCCGTTACACAAACACGTCCCTCTGCATCTTTGGCTCTATCTGAGTCTATCTACTTTACAATGAACAAAGAACTCTTTTCATATAGCATCACGCTTACAGCATAGTAAAAACATAAAGGTGCCTGTATCTCCGAACTTTACAATGAAACATGGGGTCTTTATTAGAGCAATGTGCTCGGCTTGGCCAACTGCACCTTGGGTGCCAGTTTCACGATCAAGCTTGCCAATCCCAGAATTCGCAATGTCGCCACCAGCCAAACTGGATCTGGGGGTCGACCTCTTCGACGACGACGACCAGAAAAATATTTTTTGGGCTAGTTGCGACATTGAACATGAAACTTTCACACAAGGTGCTGTTGGCCAAGCCGAGCCCATTGCTCTATTCAAAACCCCACGTTTCATTGTAAAGTTTGGAGATACAGGCACCTTTATGTTTGTAAGCGTGATGCTGTATGACAAGTGGTCTTTGTTTAATGTAAAGTAGCTAGACCCTGACAGAGCAAAAGATGCAGAGG